GCATAGACTTATCCACTAATGTGTTGTGAAGCGCAAAGTCTTGCGACATTGACCTCGTAAAATGTTGCAACTCTCAAACCTAGCTTTCTGGCTTTGGTAGCTTCGTACGAGAGAGGGTTAAAAACAGTTCCGTGACCCAAGCGAGTCTCGCTGGTGAAATAATGCGTGAATGGGGGCCGTAAGCATAATACGACCACCAACGTGCGAGAGGCTTTTCTCAGGCGCAACAAATGTCTTAAATGTCGGTATTCAGATGCGCCATTGAACGTGGGTGAAAGTTTAAATGCGGAAGCTTAGGCGAGAGCGGAGCGCATGAATTGGGCGCACAAAGTCGGCGAGGCTTAAGGCGCGCTTCACTGTTTGACGTCAAACGGGGGAGCGAGAGCTGTTGATGCGTTCGACGATGGGATTACGGAACATGCCCACGTCGGCTCACGAGGGGATTGCGGTTTCCGGGCCGAGTGCACTCAACGTGGTATTGAGATTCCTTCAGATTACGCTAATTACCGGGTTTTCAGCCTGTTGAATGCAGGCACCAGACAGGTTTCAATAAATATCTACTTGTCAAACTTGGTGTCTGGAAAATTCCGACTTCCCAGACTTTTCAGAGAGGTTTAGCGTAAAGTCACTAAGTAGGGGCTAGGTTACCAGCAGGGGTTCCCGAACTCTCTGAATTTGAGAAACCCCTTCTGGTTTCGGAATTAAAGCAGCAATAATAATAATAATAATAATAATAATAATAATAATAATAATAATAATAATAATAATAATAATAATAATAATAATAATAATAATAATGATAATAATAGTAATTTAATTTGACGAGAAAATGCACATAGAAATGAGATGATAAATTAAACAAAGACTCTTGTAAAGTGGTAAATAATGAGGGCCTGTAGTCACACCCTTCTTTTTTTACTGTAATTATAGTTACTATCTTATAATAAACTAATAAAGCAGTAAACAGACTACAGATCATGTAAACAATAATGTAAGATACTAGAGAGTGTTTGGCTCATAGTTATGCATCAATGGGTAGCTCAAATTAACTAAAACTGGGAAAAACCTTTCTACCAGGGTCAGGGACAGCCAGGGATATTTGGGAGCTCGAGGAATCCTTGAGGGCACTCTGGGGAACTCCTGTGTTCTGTGGCTTGGGGTGTCGGTACTTGACTTCCCACATCTCTCGTGGGTGTTGCCATTTTGGGTGCCCATGGTCTGTTGCAGGTTAAGAAAAGCATTATAAGCTCCTCCTAACAAGCCCTCCTCTCCTTTCATTTTAGCAGAGGGAACACCAGAGAGATGGCGAGTGGAGAGGAGGAAACTGGCAATTGTGGCGAGTAGAGAGCTTTGTGGGGAGAATTTGTCTCACTATTTTTAACCTGCAACTGACTATGTAATGCAGAGCAGACGCCATTCGGGGTTGTCGCGATTCGAAAATGCATGTACAACTTCCGGAGCTTTAGGGGCAGTGTCGGAAAGCTCAGGCAGCATTTTTTGGTCGTGTCAGGGACCGTCCTAACATTTCCTGCAATTTGAGACGAAACTTCGGATAACTGGAAACAATGATTCTCAGCATCAGGATGGCCCGAGTGTCGTCGCTTCTGAAGCATTGCTTATTTACTGGCTCTAGTCGAACCTTGTAGAGGGTTTTCATCTTAACCACCCACATTAGTTTGGCTTTCAGGGGCCGTCTCATATGGAATGTCAATAGACATACCGTACGATATTATGCATTCGCCCATTCCGCACTAAGCGCCCACCCCCAAAATTTGAAACATCTGAAAAAATTTGCACAGTACATATAAGTATATGTAAAATTGATGACCTCACATGCGCCCATCTTCTATTTTTTTGCGATTATCTTCAAATTTTGCGTAGGCGCTTGCTCGGTATTTTATGGTAAGTAGTAGCAGTCATTTACTAGCTTTCGCGAAAAGTAAGCTTGATGGGTGTGAAGCATGTTTTGCTGTGGGTCAGATGGCTTTCTCGAGGGTGATGTTTTCATGTCCTTGAGAGTTTAGTATTCCACCCACTTTTCAACGCTTTAAAGCTCTCCCATTGGTTGCCAACCTTAGAACTGGAAGAGAGGTCAGGAGCCAGTTCTAGAAGTTTGCGACTCTTTACTGAAAGCATCATTCATTGGCAAAGTGTGGCTGGTATTTAAATGTAAGAGTTTTGGTTTTTAAGCATTTCCATGGAGACTTGCCCTAAAACTTAATTTCATTGAGCTCTCTTTTTTTCTTTCTTTCTTTGAACCGGTTGTATTTGCTATATTTATGGGATTCCACACGTGGCAGGTTTGGACCATATTTCTCATCCTGGATTTCTAAACGAGGTTTAGAAATCTGAACACTCTTTGTGAATTAACTGTAGCACCTAATTCTTGTATGTCACATTTTGTAGGCTTTTTTTTTTTTTTTTTTTTCTAAAGGGAATATTGTTGCGAGCGCAGCTGACCAAGCAGGCAGCGCGCTCGTGGCCTAGCGGTTATCGCGCGTGCCTTCCACGCAGAAACCCAGGGTTCGATTCCTGGCCACGGGTACGCATTTTTGTTGACTCTAATGTAATGTTCTGGTAAATTCGAGAACCGTGTTGCTGATTCGAGGTTAGAATGTTCTGCACGCCGAACCTTCCACGCTCATTGTTCCAGAAGCCCACACGTGTACAAAAGGGGCTCCGCGTGGCCAGCCGGACTCAGTCTCGCCCCAGCGCTCGATCGTGCGGTTTCGCCGACATCGACGCCCGCGACGCTCTGCTGTTTTCTTCTGTTCCCTTTTTGTTTTGTTTGTTTTGGGCACAAGTTTGTCCAATTAAACGTTTAGTTTCTTCAGTTATCATCGCCTCATCAATTGTCATTCGTGACAATATGTGTTTGTTTGTTTTTAATTTTGAAAATGAATGGGACGGGGTGGCATTTCACGACATCAAATTACTGCACGAGCTTAGGAAGTGGAACTCGGGAACCTCCCGCATTTTGAACTAACACAAATAAAAACTGAAAAAACTAACCTTTAGAAATATGCTTCGAACATTGTCCTAAAATAAGCTACAAGAAATGGCGTGTCTGTGCTCACTGCATATGCAATAGCAGCACTACTACCTGTGGCAACGTTCACACGAGCTTCATCATGCATTGCTTGATGCAGTCAGCAGAGCTGGGCACGGTACTTCAAAAAAGTACCTTTGATACCGATACCCAATACCCTCAAAAATTGTATTGCCGATACCGATACAAGATACAGAACTGAAAGGGATTTCCGGTACAGATACCGGATAATCCTCAATATTTTGAGACAGCACTGAAATCGCCAATATTAATAAAGCTTGTAATACAATTAGCTAAGTTACGAAATTTATCCGTGGTTTCTGGGATACGTTGAGTGTATTCGATATAGTAGACTGTTTTCTAATGGGCTTAACATTAGAACTTTAGCGTTGGACTGAAGCCATGTTGACGTTTAAACAATCATTTCTATATGCAGCATAGCAAAATTTTTAAACTAACGTTCTTCATGTGACTGCAAGATTCGCAGGCCGCACCAGCTGCTCTGCTGCTCTCCCCTCTTTCTACGCAAAAAAAGCTGAGCCATAAGGCTACAGCCTCGAAAATAAAAAAATAAAAATGGCTTGTTAGCATTGGCAAGGCATGCGTGTGGTGGCAGGAGATTTTACAACAGGGAGAGGAGGTGCCCGTCCCCCCTTCCCCTCTCTGCCCCCAGTGTGCAATCGCCTTGCTGCTCTTGCTGTGTGTGTGTGTGTGCGTGCGTGCACGCGCACGTGCATGCATGCATGCACACCACTGGCCCAGAATCGGACTTACAGCAACCTCATAATCTGCGGCACATCCTCTTTTTACTTTTTTTTTTTGAGTATCGAGTATGGGGAAAATACAAGATACACTAAAATGTATTTTCGATAACGATTCACCAATACTTTCATTTCTGGCGAACGATACCTAATACCGATACACAAAAAGTGTCAAAAGATAGTATCGAAGGTACATGTATTTTTGATATTGCCTGTGCCTGGCAGTCAGCACCATGTTGACATTTGTACTTTTTCACATTTTACTCGGGCAAGATAATCGCGAGTGTCAAATATTACCACTTTGGTCGGTGCCCCGAACAAGCACTTTCCACTGGACTAGTAGCTTCTATGACATCCTTTCTGGCCAAAGAGAAAAGGTGGAGAAACCGGCAATTGCTTGTTCGTGCTAGCTGTGTCACGCCTTGTAATTACATTCAAGACACCATCAATTAATTAGAAAGTGCCATACAGTTAACGTCAGACACTTTTGCCCCTTCTCTTTTCGCTGATTTATCAAAACAATATATTCGGTGTGTGCATTTATCGGTGCTTCCTTTTTTTCACCAAGTACCGAAAATTGGAAATCTGAATCCTAAATGGAGAGCAAGTCGTATGCTTCTTGCGCAGGAGTTGCGATGACGTCAGAACGACGCTGAGCTGTGATTGGCTTTAATTGAACAGATAGTGGGTAGACCTCAATGCTAGGTGCCCTGAGGTCTTCCCCCTATTTTTTTCTATCAGCCAGTAAGAGTTTGGCGTAGTGACACCATCGTAACCCTTGTGCATGAAGCAGACATACTGGTGCTCCACAATGACAGGATTTTCCAGCGTAAATCCTGAAAAAGTCACGTTATTTTTATATCAGGAGGGAAGTCTTGTGTAACGCCGCTTCGTGTCTCTCAGCGATATATATGCATTCTGGATTGCGTTTCGTAATGTCCGACACATGCGCGGGTTTCCACCTTCGTGGTCATTCTTTCGGATGCCAGCTCACTTGTTCGCACCTCTGGCATGGAGTGGGGTTTAATCTTGGACCATTGGCTGTAGGTAGGGCTAAGCTTAGCCCCATCTATTGGTTTTGTGCAGGCATTGTCTCTGGCAGCTGGATGTGAAATTGGCCATTCGTGATGTCGGTCGTGATGTAACGCTTGTGCGGGTATGCTTACTGTTTTCTGCCCTCTTTCTTTCAGAGGTGGAAAAAAAGGTATTTTCGGCTCAAGCCACGGAAACTCTACTATGCAAAAGACAGCAAGGTGCGTTTGGAGTATACCTTTTTTTTTTGTTTTCAGCAACTTTGTGAGGCATGCGCCACTAACACCCCTTCTATTTTTTGGCCTGTACGTGGTGGTTTGTTGGTTGTTTATATCTTGTGCATTCCTTGGATTGAAACTGAAATTTGTGCTTGAACACACTGAGAGTCAACTATGTGTTTTGCTTAAAGGGGCACGGAAACAAAAATTGAAATATTCAAATTTCGTTCGGAAATAAGTCAAGCATGACGGATAATAACCGTAAATGACAATCGCACGTTTGTATTTTGAACGACTGGCTATATTTTTCATTCCAAAGGGTGCATTCGAGCAAGCGCTCGAAGAGAAGCGAACGGAGTGCACGATGCGTCGTGGGATATCCGGCGCAAACAAAAACAGAAAGAAAAGATTCATGACGTAGAAAGGCTGGCGTGATTATGAGCTTTTCTCTTGGTGGCGTTTTCAGCGTTGTGGTGGTGTTATTAGCGTCAGCACATTACAACCGAGCCGTTCAAAGTACCCGTGGGGTGACGAGCGTGTGGCTGGCCCAAGGAGCACGTAGCTTCCACAACACTGTCAGCTTAGGGCTGAACGGGGTGGGAATAGCAACTTTTGTTCGAGTTTTGAGGGACGGGCTAATCTTCTAGGGGGAGAATAACTGCGTCTGGCTGCACGAACGAGGGTCCGAGAAAGAAGGGAGTCCTTCCTTTCTGTCTTCTTGAACTGTTTGGTACAATGCGTGATTTGTGAGTTGAGGAGGATTGTTAAAGGAAAATGTTGAAATTCCAAAGAGCGGTGCTGCTCCAAAGGAATCTGCTACGTCACGACTACGTAGCAAGTTCCCCAGTGTTGCTAGATTACCTCCCAAATAGGCTCCGCATGCATCCACGAGATGCACATTGAAAGATTGTTTATTTAGCTTTAAAATTAGTTTTCTTGTGCCTTTCAACGGAAGACTGGTGTTTTTGAGGTTAGAGTGCAACATGCATCACATTCAAGCTAGAAAATGAGCGCTGGAATTTTGTTTCCCTACCCCTTTAACGGTATGCTGCAACAAATGTTTGTTCATGATTTTGTTTCACTCATCTTTATAATCTCCGTCTTCCACGTAAATGTGTCAAGACGGGTTTCTAACCATGCACTGTCCTGAGATGTGCCCAGACTGTTGCAGACACCCGCCCTTGAAGGGCTCCCACGGCTTGCTAAAAACTTTAAGAACTCTCAGATAAAATAAAACTTACCTTTCAGTGCAAAGGAAACTTTTTAACTTGCATGCTAAAAGACAAAAGCATCAAGTGAGCCCATGGATACTGTCCCTTCTCACATGAAGCAGACAGCCCCTTCACGATCCTAAATAATAATTTGATGAGAAAACTGTTGAATCTGGATAAAAAGTAGCTTGACGGATAGCTATGGCCGACCATTTCTGCCGAACAAACTTAACTCTCATTGTGATCATTTGGGATTACGAGGATTTATCAATTTCGGACTCCTCGTTGGGGATCAGACGGCTTATTTGGTGAACATTGTTCTTCTAAATGGGGGTCTTTGTAACACTCTAAAACAAAAGACTCGGTGCTGTAGACAAAGGGTCAGAAGCTTTACCAAAATGCTGCCTCACTTAGGAGCTAAAAAGAGAAGACGCAAATGGCCCCAAAAAGTCCACAAAAAATGGCGGCTTCAGTGGCCGCATTCACAAGCCTCTGACACAATGTCCGCTGGATTGAAACTCAATCGCGACTCCTGCCGACCAAGGTTTCCACCGGCCGCAGCTGGCTGCTTAGGCGGAAACCCAAAGAGCTGCATCGGGTTTCCGCCTTTGTTAAGATAGATGCTGGAGCTAAGATAAACACTCTGTTGAAAGCTGGAATCCTCTTACCATCGCATAAGGTCGCAAAGACAGGTTGGCTCTTGCATAACTCGTAACTCCTGCGAAAGCTTTAATCAGTCTAGCTCCTAAGAGCAGCGGGTTATAAAAGGTGCAGTAAGCCTTTTTGTGGCGTCTGTTTCTCATTGCCTCAAAGTTATGGTTGATTCGTGGCTTTCCATCTCCACTCCCGTGCTCCGAGACTTAAGCATCTTATACAAGGTGTAAGGTGGCTTTGCTCCATTTCGTTTCTTTTTCCCAGTGCCACTTTTAGCGAAAGTCAGTTGCATCAAGCTCTGACTTTCGTCAATCTCGGCACGCTTTTGTTTTTTTTTGGGGGGAGGGGGAGGGAAGGAAGGAAAGGAAGGGGAAGGGGAAGTGGAAGTGGGGAGCCAACGAGCATATGAAAGAACTCCCGTTTATTCATGCTTCAATCGCTTTAGGGTCGCTGCTTTCCCTTCTCCTATTCTGTTGCCGTTATTTGCACTGACTTTTTTTTTTCTTTGAGGGAGTGGGATTATGGGGATTAGGGTAGCCGAATCGGGACAGGGAAATAGTAGGCAAAAAAACATTCAAACCAAGCAACAGGTTACAAAACAGCGGTTGACGACGGTCACTCCACGGTTTATGGAGAAACGTGACCGCTTTTGCCCACATGGGGGGGTCGGGGGCGCTTATTGGCTTTACCATATGTCAAAACGAGGACAAAGCAAACAAAAGATGCGAGTGTATTGCAAAAAATAAAAAAAGGAGGTCGACAGTTTCTGACATCGAGTTTCCCCGCACGACAGTTGAGCCTGGGGGGCGTGTGGTGTGAGGGTGCCCAGGGGCTGTCAACTGGGTCAAGAAGAGAAGAGGGGAAACCTCATTTCTTCCCCCTTTTTTTTTCTTCTTTCTCATGCTTTTTTTGTGGCTTTCTTTATTGATTGGTTATTGATCCCTCCATCAAGCGACACGTCGTCCCCTCCTTTAGGCTCCAGCGCGCTTCTAAAGTTGGAAAAAAAGCCCGCTCTCCTTCGTGCCTCCTCAAACCTGTCGTCCTCCTTTCTACCCGTGGGCCATGGCTTTCTTTGTCTGTCCCGTTGGTTGCTTTGTCAGTCTTCCCCACTGCCCTTTATCCCCCGGGGATCGGAGATTGTCGAACTGTCACTCTGGGTGTATGAGTATAGGGGTATATTGGTTTACTTCTTTTTTCTGTGGTGTCACTCTGTGTCTTTCTTTTTTTTTTTTTTTCCCCTCTATGCAGTCTGTGATTTTCGAGGAGATTGATCTCACTGAGCTCAGCGTAGCGGAGTGTAGTACAAAGAATGCAAACCACAGTTTCCAGGTAAGTCCAGTTTTTTTGTGTTTCTTCCATACAGCTTCCTTCTTTTTTTTTTTTTTTAGTTCTCGTTTGGAGCATTTGAGTTTGAATGCCGAACTGTTTCGCATGAAGTCTGTTTTCAGAGAGCAAAATGATGAGAAAGTAGCACAAAATTGTTTTGAGGGAACTAGCTTTTACAAAGCAATTCTTCTCTCTTTGTTTGTTGTAACCTTGCTGGAATGAACCTTTACTTAGGTAAAGATTTGCATATGAGCAACTTTTTGAAGATTCCTCGTTGAAAGGTTGCACTTTTTATGTAACTTTATCAGTCGACAAATTTCGGAGTATACTAGACACTTTGAGACGACAATCGCTTTGAGGTCCCGCTGTAGAGGGCGTCATTAAACCTCAGCTGAGTGAATTAATGGGTCTCTTTCCGTCGCTATCATGCGAGCCATTAAAAAAACAGAACTGCGCAAAAGGGCCTTGTGGAAATGTTAGCTGCTAACCAGAGATTTATTTGGAAGTTTTTGTCGAGATTTTGAGTGTGGTGTCTATATGTGCTTTATTTAGAGTAAATTTACACTTGATTCTCGTTCATTGAGGTCTACAGTTTCATGCGCATTTTTCAGCCTTTTCATAAATATGCCCAAGAGTATTTTTTTTTTTTTTTGTGGATAACATTAGATTATGGTCTCAAGATGCTACTCGAAATTTTTCTTTGCTGCAAGGTTGTGTATTTGTTGAGAAAGACAAATGAAGTTGAACCCCTACCAGAGGATCAGCTTAGGCAACTGCAGTGTCACAGTGAATGAGATTTATGCACTTATTAAAGCTCCTTTCAAATCGACGCATATTCGGCGTTCCTTTTAGAAAAATTATATTTTTTGGATTTTATTTGCTTTCAGTTACGAATGCGCCTTTCTAGGTAGCCTAGAATTTAAAAAGAAATATATATATATATATTTCGGGTTCTGTGTCATCGCTTTAAGTGACCAAGGAAGAGTCTGCGAGTGTCCCAAAACAGTCGGTCCACCTTTCTCACCAGAAGTGGTGCCCTCCATCAGAGGATTGTCTTGGTAGGAAGCTCGCAAGAAAAGACACCAGTAGGAACGGGAACGAGAGGGGAGAGGATTTTTTTGCACCAACTTGGAGGCAAAAGACCGGCCACAATGGACATTAAAGTGACGTCTTTGGAGCCGAACCTAGGTCACCGTAGCTGAATGGAGCTAACAGGGTCTAGCATCCTTGCTCAAGTTTCATAGCGAAGTTTCATAGCGAAGAACCCCCGAACCGGGAATCCTGAAAAGTCTGGGTTCTAGATTTCGGGTTGCAAATATTTTTCTAGGCAGTTGGGCTTTCAGTAAAAATTTCGGTAAGTGGTCACTGGCCCTTTAAGTTTAATTTTTAGTTTTAGATGTACTTGTGCTTTTGTACAAGACTGTACTTATGCCGATTAGGGCGTTATGGTTGTGAAAGGAGTGGAAAAAGAACTAGGAAAGGTGCTGGATGAGTGTGCCTGAGGAAGGCTTGCAGTTGTCAACACGTTTCAATCCCTCATTGAACAAGCCAAACACTGTGAGGGACAGGATGGTACAGTGTTAGTTTATGATCAAGTTCCAGTGCAGTTTCTGATATCTAATCTAACCCTATTCAAGTTTTTTTTTTTTTTAATTGTGATTTTGATGTAGGATTTTATGGAATATTATGATAATAGTATCAAAAAATGCCTTTGTTGTAAAGCAAAACTTTTTTTTTTTTTTATGTCAGTAGAGATATTAATACGAATGAACAAAAAAGGTGCCAGCTAAGTTTGGATGCATTTCAATTCTATATTTCTTTCTCCAAGTATAAAACAAAAAGTATGGTTTTATTAATTTCTTTTTCTGGAAAAAAAAGCCATAAGGGGCCATTTCTTAGTCAGTTGTGTAGCAGGGGCATTTCCATACTGACCTTTTTTTTTTAAATTCTCTTAATGAGATTTCAGAGAGAAAATAGGGTTATTACATTAGCCTGTGGCTGTATTAGCAGTCTCACACATCTGTTTTCAGCCGGGATAAATGACATGATATATGATAAAAGCATTGGGTTTTTGTTCCATACACCTGGCAAAAGGATCTGCTGGTTTGGGACCAGATACGAAAATGTTTGGGGAAATGGTGATCCTTCCTCCCTAGTTTCTCTGGCACATTTAGGCAATGAGGTGTCTGAGATACCGAAACTGTACACAAAAAGGCAGCAGACTTCCCACCCGGAAGCTATGTGATCCCCTGCAATGGGTGCGAGTAGCAAGTAATCTGCAAGGATGTTGCCTATTTTTCTCTATTCCAGAAACCGGACAATGTAATGATACAGCCCATATTCTTCCCAACACATCTATACATGTTGAATAAATACCAAAAAGAGAAAGTCTTCATTTTTGCTCTAGATTCTTGGAAATAGTATAGGATGTTTCAGGTCTGGCAGATCCTTTTTCAATCAAATTTGACCGAGGAAAAATCTGTCAGGCCCGAAACATTTTGACTGTTTCCAAGAATCAACAGCAAAAAGAAGGGCTTTCTCCTTTTTATGTTGTAAATTTCAGAGAGCATCTATATGTATGTAAAGCTGCTTTCATGTTGAGTATGTGTATACTGCTGTAAATATTCAACATGATATCACCCTAGCTTAAGCCATCAGGAGCGGTTCACTTGGCACATATCGAGCAGACAGACGGAGCCTATAACATTTGGCAGACTATCGTCAGTGACTGGGACAATCCCTGCACAGGATTTGCATGTGCAATTTTAAAGTGGCGTTTTAAACTAAAAGAGGAGCTGCATTGCGTTGCTAGTGCTTCCCAGAATTGATATACAAGTCGGCAAAACAATCTTGAAACTCGACATAAAAAAGCAGAGTCCCAGTATAATCCGTTGCCCTCTCTCCCCATATGCAGATCATCACACCATTCCGGAGGCTTATTCTCTGCGCCGAGACGAGAAAAGAAATGGAAGACTGGATCTCAGCCCTGAAGAGTGTGTGCAACAAGGATTTTTACGAGGTGCGACTTCACTGCACGTGGATTGTCTTGGGATTCCAATAGAGCGACGTGCCTGAGGGTCGGGCTCTGTGCGTTGGACATCCGCCGATGGGGAATGCGTAAAATCACCAAGGAGTTTTAGGGAGTTCAGGGATGTCGGCTATTTCTTAGGGACTTGGCTGAAAGGTGGCTAGAAACGGAGAAAACCCATATATACTGTGTTGTCTCACCGATATCTTGCTTGTGCGCATAAGGCCAGACTTCTGTTTTTGTTTTAATATGTGGCAGATATTTATTCATCAGTGTGACAGTGTGCGAGTTTGTCTAACGAAGGGGTTCCCTAATTTCCTGATGCCGAGAAACGCCTATCTTTTTTGATTGACAGCCAGAGAACACCCTCCCTCTTTTGGCACTGTTGCAATAAAGCGGTTCAAAAGCCTGGACTTCTTTAGCGGCGAGGCACACACGGAAGAATGTACGGCTTCTAGCTGTGCATCAATGCACGGCTCGGCTGTTGCAAAAACAGTGCTCAAAGCCGGAACGACCAATTTTAGTTGGAGGGATCGAAAAAAGTTTGAGACTTGAAGGACCTCGAGGGTACCCTGGGGCACCCCTGGGTTTCTAGCAACCTAGTTTTGAGAACTTATGGTCTAGCCATTCTTGTTGCTAATCCAGACCTCAGATATCAATGCATTTAACAAAAACTTTCAAGAATGATTTTATTTAAACTATGATACATATTTGCCCTTCTTTGTTTGACAACAAACTTAGTGGTGTCATCTGTCAATAAGCAGCCCTGACGCACTTCCGGTTTGCCTATAGTCCATAATGTTTTGACATCATTCGATCTAGACGTGAAATAATTCAGACATTGATACGAGTGACCATCTCTCAAAGATTTCACATAGATATTCCATCTTGCAGACACTGCAAATCCTGCTGTCTAGTTCAGGGCCAGAATGGCTTGAGGGCTATTCCCACACAGGTGCCACTACGTGTCAACTTGCAGGAGAAAGAGTGAATAGCTTTCTTTGATCCTGCGTTTAGCAAAAAGGGATTGGATGTTTATTTATTTATTAGCCCAATTGTCAGCTGTGCATTCAGCTGCTGGCTGTGCAATTGACTGTGCAGTTCTGCAATGGTTGACCTTGCAAACGGCTGATCAACGATTCACTGACTGTCGGATCGCAGGGAACGGAACACCAGCAGGATTTTCTATCGGGACAGCACAACTGGTATGTCACATCGCACGCCCGACCCACCTACTGCAATGTCTGCAAGGAGGCACTCTCTGGGGTCACTTCACACGGACTCTCTTGCGAAGGTAACTTGCGAAGGATGAGCACCGAAAGAATCGTGGAATGATTTCGAGTTGCAAGTTTGAGGCTTTGTTGAACCTGAGATTAGCATTCTAAAAGCATGTTGAAATGGTTTTAATGGAGACTGTTTTTTGTTGTTGTTTTTTTTTGGTTGTAGGGGCGATTTTGAAAAGAGAGCCATTGTCCTGGTCATGTAATGGCAGAAACAGATATAACATCACCAGGGGGTTTTGGGGTTGAAACCCTTCCCCTGAAATGATACAGCTCCTTCTGCCCACTCTTTATGGCCGGGTTCATAGTGCACCCCCCCCCCCCCCCCTTTCTCAAAAGGATTTCCTATGCAACTGAACATCACAGACAGTTGCAACATCACGAACAGCTGCAATGTCACAAACTGATGGTGATGTCACAAATGTAGCATACATCCTTTTCCCACTAAATTTAGAGGGCACTATTTTTATTGGAGCCCCATTTAATTTCAAAACATAGCGAAGGCAAATTGGGGGGGGGGGCTTCATGTTTGTTTAAAACAGTGGTTTTCAGCCCCTCATGCTGTGAAGACCCCTTCTGGATTGGCAAAAGTGGTTGTAGACCCTATCCACCAGGGAGAAGGGGGTGGGGAGGGGGCTAGGAAGGGGGGTAGGCAGGTAGGTGCATAATTACAATGACAAAAAGCTAAATAAAAAAAAACGAAATGTGTGCAGTTCAATCTTAAAGGGAGCATAATCAACCTTATCACTCCGTGCACATGGTTTGGTCTATTTAGCTTTGCAGGACAGCCTGCATCAATAGAAAAATTTATTGTTGGGGCTTGACTGATGGTCAAGGGTTTCGGAGACCCCAAGAAGAGCTTTCAGGGACCCCAAAGGGTTCGCAGACCCTCATTTGAAGGCCAACAGTCTAAGACATACAAATTACCTGCAATGAACTGGTTGGAGAGCACACTGCACGTCACGCAACACTGCCTTTCAGCAGTCATTTGTGAGGCCTTGAGCACACTGGGCCCTGCCCTGAGGATTAGTGTCAACTCTGACTCTAGTCCTTCTTTCCTTAAGGCTGAACTCGATAAAACGAAGGGGCAGACAATCAATCGACGAACTTCGTGGGCGGCACATTTGCTCCGCACACACGGCGATGGCCGCTGTTTCGATGTCTCGTGTAAAGCGAATGCCGCGAGGCGAAATTCATGCCTTTTTTTTTTTTGCTCCATAGAGTCCAGCTTTTAGAGTCTAGACTTTTTTGCTCCTTTGGTGTTCGGTAATGGACCTTGCATTTTGATTGCTGAAAGGCATGGTCCAGCAGTTTTGTTTCCTCTCATCTCTGTGGAAATGAGGGATCATGATAATGTGTCTTACGTAAAAGCGGGGTGTGTGTGCACATGTAATTTGCTTTTGTTTGGTCTTCATGAAACGCACAGTAGTCCAAATTAGTCATAAAAAGATTAGGTAAAAAAACCTACGATCATGCCACCTCAGAAAACAAAAAATTTGAAAGAGCATTTCTGAAAGCAGTTCAGTCCCGCATTGTTGTAATTTAGTGGGGGAGGTTGTTCCACCCTACAGAAGTCTGAGGGAGGAACAAGCAAAGTAAAAGGTGATTTATTGTCGCGAAACAGGTGTGCGCATGGCAGCGTGCCAGGCAAAGGAGATAGGTAGAAACCCTAATGCCTGCTAGCCTGCCGTCATGTATGCTGCGAGTTCATAGACCCTAGATTAAAACTCGTGTGATGATGATGGTTATGATTGGAGAGGGGTGGAAGTTAGGATTATGGCAACACGCCCGACGACACTCTAGTCGCAAATACCCTACAAAGTTCCCGGGACTCCTTGTGCAATGTCGGTAGAGGGCTGTTTGCTGTCGAGCAGTAGGTCTCGAACGCTAGGCCTCAGTGGGGAAGTCCCGGGTGAGCCCCCGGAGGTGAGAGAGAGACGTCCGTCCCAAACGAGAGCGCAGCCAACAGTAAAAACATGTTTGCTTGACGTAGAAAAATGCCAATCTTGTTTTAGTGGTCTAAACGACTGGAGATGTACGACGGAGGTGTTAGTAGGTTACGACGCATTAAGGAATTGTGGTAAATTCTGTGAAAAAAGCGTAAACGAGGATACTAAGTGAGCCAATATTCGGTAATGATAATGAATGTATTGTAGAAGTTACACTGGCAGTACTATACAATATAGCTGGGAAGAATTAAACGTATAGATTTGTCTCTCACAGATTCAAACAACAAAATGAGGCATTCCATGCTGGGGTTCCAGACGGAAGTTGCATACTCAAGCTTTGATCTTACCAGTGAATCATAAAGAAGAAGCTTAAAATAGGATGGAACAGAGCTAAAGTTTCTCCCAAGAAAACCGAAACTTAGCATGTGGTTACCATTGTTAACAACATGCTCTTTGGCATACCTTTAAGCTGTACTACAGTTACTCACAGAATGTCTTTCGAATGCCTCCAGCATGCGCTTCACACCTTTCACCGCGCTTTGGCTACACGTCGAAGTGTCGTGCAGTTTCCAGTTGGAAGCCTTATTTTAGGAGCGAAACTCCTTAGGGTCTAGCCTTGTCCGCCCGGCGTCCGTGTTCACATCGATCTTGCTGGTGTTTGTGCTCGTGATCGTGCTTGTGTTAGCAAAAAAAAAATGATAAAAATAGGAAAAGAAAAAATGTTTGCGCAGTCGACAGGATTCGAACTTGTGCGGGAAACCCCAATGGATTTCTAGTCCATCGCCTTAACCACTCGGCCACGACTGCGGGACAAGTAGGGGGCTCTGAGATGTGGTAGTTACTCAAAAGCTGGGGATGTCATGGATGAAACACTGCATGTAGCCGCCCAACGTCTATACAGGAGGGGGCGCTGCAGTCAAATGCGTATATAATCGCGTTAAACTTTGCATGCATTGGCTCAACGTTTATAGACGAGAGGGTGCTGCGGTAAAATGCTCAAATGCGTATATAACCACGTTCCATACCGCACATTCTCTTTCTGACATGGATGAAAACGAACAAAAGACTCGGCATGCTGCGGCTCAGCGTCTACGCAGACAAGCACCACTAGAGCGTCGCCCCAATCAACATCATTCACCACGTGCAGATGTGGTCATTTTTTGTTTTGCCAGTGCTTCTAATTATGCAGCCAAATCGGTAATACCAAAAATCATCAAATGATAAAATCTTACGAAGAAATCATGCTCTTACTTCCTATGTGTCCAATCAATCATGTGGCAGTACAGTGTGCATATGGCACTGCCATTGTCTGCATGAATATTTATAAAGTGATTTTTTTTTCTGAGTATCTGAGTTTTTAAAAAGTAGTTTCAAATAACACGCTATTCGATATTCCCTTTGAAATGAACTGCCATATTCATATTTTTCGAAGCGTTGACTGCGGCAGGTTAGCCCCGTTGAGCGCACTTCTTACTGAGCACCAGTGCACTGCAGAGAAGCAACAACTGCGGATGCAAACTCTGCGGGCGTTTCTTTTCCTCAGCACACCGATGCTTGAAAAGAAGCGCGCTGAATGGGGCATACCCACCGCAATCAATCAACATTTCAAAAAGTAAAAATATTGCAGTCGCATAGGCGAAAAGCACACTTACAAAGCGAGATGGTGCATGCGTGCACCTGGTGTATTTAAAAGGAAAGAGAATCTTGGTGAATGTTGATTTCTGCATTGCAGTAAAAGTTCAAATTTTGCTGTGGCTATTATGCAAAAGCATATGTTAGGCAGAGATGCTTTAACAACCTGCACTTATCTTTTGAGTTTTTTTATTTTTTTTAAATTCAAAGTTGAAGAAAGGATATTTGCATATAGCAGATATCCTTGCCTTTATATGTAGGCATTAGACTCTCTGGGACATAGCTCATAAATATAGCTAGAGTTAATTTAACTTAGCTTAGAAAGGGACAAGTGGAAGCTTAAGAACAATCTCCATTAGCTCAACTCGTTTTTCGTTTAAGCATGGTGCAATAGTAGTGAAAGGCTTCACTACTGTTTCATTCACTATTTGCACATGACTATTTTTATTAATATTTATTATTATATGATGGCAGTGATCCTTACATTTTTCCCATGCAAATTAGCATCCAAGCTCAAAATTGACCTGCCCCTACAGACATTGCCACTTGCTTCACAGGCGAACATGATCATGCTACTTATTTCAGGCTTTAGTTGAGCTGGTTGGTTTTATCCAGTTGCATTTCGAACTCGTAGGAACGAAAATGGGTGCATCATTTCATATTGCAGCGATCGAGGTATTGAAAGGCAAAGAAATCGTCTTGAGACTCCTTTCAGAGCTGTAAAACTTCACCGCCCGGTTTGCTCAGTCCCGATGAAATGTGTTTATTTTTTTTCCGCATATTTGCATTCTTTTTGCATCTCAGTGTGCAAGTTCAAGGCCCACAAGAGGTGTGCGGTCAAGTCCCCGAGCAACTGCAAATGGACGACACTGGCTTCAGTCGGCAAGGACATCATTGAGGACGAAGACGGAGTGAGTGTGCAGTCACATCTTTTTAACCCAACGACTTTGTGAATTAGAAATATATTTCGGTGAAGTTTTGGATGCTTCAACAGGATGTCACCAGTCTCAGCACCATGTTTGCCTCACGTGTCTTAGGGGTCATGCTTCGAAGATACTTTGCGTTTTTGAACTGATATTGAGGATGCTTGCCAAACATTCGTTCACTTCCAATAAATCGTAAATTGTTTTGTACACATACTATCGGAAATTATTTTTTAGCTTAAAAAATAGGCTTGGGATTGAATACCTGTGCTATTGGTCATTTTATTGCATACTTTTTGTTTTGCTTTCTGTTGTGTATGACAGCTGGCAATGTAAAATGTTATTCATCTGAATTTTTCAATACCGTAATACATGCCGGTCCTCAATCGGTCATTGTTGCTGGGTGGTTCACTACAAGCCGGTTAAATTTATCTTGTGAAGTAGTTCGTGCTTACTGGTTCTGTCTGAAATCTTTCCAAAGAAAGCGTATAGGGCGAGCGAGTGTTTCATAATGTATCTTTGGTGCGTCGGAGTGTGAGGAGGGCCATGTTGGTTAGAGGGCAACATGGAGAATGTGCGGGGAATGCGCTTCGACAAGACGACCAAGCATGTGCCATCAAAAATGGTCAGAGGTCGGAAGGAAACAAAAGCATGTGGGTGCATTTGGAGGGGAAACAAATGTATGAGGTGCACAAGGAGCAGGTGAATGTGCATGCCGTATTATTGTTTGCAGATTTCTACGACACTTGGACCGTGATGAGTGCGGAGTTAGGTGCCACAATTCTTGAGCTGCCTCGTGCATTTTCTTTCTCAATTGCAAAGTTCCCGCTCTTATTTACTATACAGAAACTTTGAAGTACGGTGAGAGTAGGGCGCAGACAAGTCGGTTGAAGATCACTAAGGTCACAAAGAAATGACGGGATGCAGCCTTCTTACCTTCGCTTGTCTTTCTACGTGCCATTTTTCTCCAGTCTCAAGTGTAATCACATTTGGTTAACTGCATGAAATAGCATACTCAAGCGCATCATTGACTAATATTGTTAGCTGCAACTGCTGTAGCACCGGGGGCCCAAACCTCGTCGGGCGGCTCGGGCCGCCTTTTGCTCTGCTTTCCCGGATGTTTAAATAAACATAATGCATTGATTCGTTGAAACAAACATTTTGGACGACACGGGATTGATATGTCCACTGTGTCCCCAAAAGCGGTCCCTCGACTTCCGCCCAACAACTTTACATCAGTGTCATGCTCTTGCCCGTCGTGATTTTCGGGGTGGCATGTCCGACAGCTTGACGCGCCAGCTTCCTAATTTGCTGCCACTTCGGATCCACTTTTGACGTGTGGGTGGATGCTAAACACGCCAGTCAAAAGTGCATTCCAGGCAGCATACTTATGACCGTGACTCACGTAAGTGTTGTGCCCACGGCGGTGCCTCGCTGCGGGGTCCCTCACCCGGCGTCTCTGGTGCAGACCCTCACCATGCCTCACCAGTGGATGGAGGGCAACCTGCCAGTGAGTGCCAAGTGCAATGTGTGCGACCGCACCTGCGGCAGCGTCCTCAGGCTGCAGGACTGGAGGTGTCTCTGGTGCCGAGCCACGGTGAGCAAAGTTACTGTCCCCAATACGTGTGCGTCATATGCAGCAAAAATGCATACGATGCACGGGTGCTGGGGGGGGGGGGGGGAAGGGTACTACGACGCAGTACCCTCCACCCCCAGTACCCTTCCCTCCTCCTCCTCAAGAGCTGCGCTCTAATTCGGCATTACAGGGAGTTGTAAACGGCTTTCACTTTTTTTGTTTAAGCTTGCATTTTGCAGTGGAGTTTGAATCTTTCGATGGGCAATATTATTAGGTATGTCTCGACTTTCTGGTCGTTCTCATCCGTTCTCTATTTCCTCCAAGTTGTTGTGTAGTACCGCCCTGCAAAAGGGACTTCAAATGACTTTAAATGGTCAACAGCACTCTGTAAAGCAGATATTTTGAAACTTTTCAATCTCGTGACACACCCACCTCTCTTTAATGGCAGCAGAGGGAGCCCTCCTCTGGCGTTGATTTTGTGAAGTACTGTAGAAGCCTACAGACTTTCGGAAGAATAATGCACATAGGTACTAGGAAATGTTTGCCACAGAGTTATGCACCACTGAATTTCTCGGATATTCCGAAATTGTGCTTAGAGTGCTGCAATGCACATGTCCTTATCTTTTCTTGCTTACAATTCGTCGTTTGGAAGTCAGCTGAGCATGACAACAGTCGCTAAATACAGCAGGGTCTCTTTAGTCTCCCGCATTCTGGTGTTTTCAGTTTTACCCTTTCAGTCCCCTTCACATCGCCTTCATGTCGCTGAGCAAAGGTGTCGGATTGTTGATTCCGCAGTCTGGGGTTTGATTCCTGCTTCACCGCTTGGTAAATCTTGTTGATTATGATCGTAGTATGACTAGTTGCAACAGGCAAGCTTCTACATTGTTTCTATGCTTATACATAGACTTCTATAAGCAATGTGTGCCCTGCATATAATGTTTTTCTGTTATGCCAGAGTGTAACACTTTTCGCATAAAATTTGGTTCATAAACACGTTCTGTGCTAAAAAATCGTGCATTTGCGCTATCGTGTAACGTATGTCTAGGGTTCCGCGTTTTGGGTTTCTATTTTTTTCAAAATTCGGCATACTTTTTTCGGTGTTTATTTTAAAGTTCAATTTCGTTTTTTTTTTCGGTGTATATTTATGCTCACAAAAGTTTATCGACTTTTTTCGGTGAATATAAAATAAACACCAACGGACACCGGATCCGATGATACTTGTAGCTCTGATATTTGTGATCACTGAAAGAATAACGCACAGATATATTGAAAAAGGAGTGGACACTTTATTTGGCAAATGTGTGCAACTGTAAAAGAAACAAGAAAAAAACATAGAAGTACAAACAAGTCAGATATGAAACCTATGCCTAAAAAATATGGAACTTCACGTTCTGTACATCGGGATTACCCGGGATCTTATAGTACACACACATGTACTTTCCCAGGTGCTCCTCAATGATCCGCAGTCTTCCTTTCCTGTTAATATGACCCTGAGCTAACACTGGACACTCGCAAGCTTATGAGATGAAGCGCTGCCTGAGCTGAAATCGGCCAATCAACCAATTGTGACCGCCAAAACAGACACTGTGCAAAGTTTTGAAGCACAACAGAACATGCAGCGCTTGGATGAAACCAGTCTTCCTTACAACTAGTTTGAAAACAGGCTCGTACATGGCCAAGTCATGGGGCATTTCGGACTTCACGTTCCGATTGATGATGCGCGGATTAAACCAAAACGTTGTGATGGCACCCATCCCATACATTCGGACACGTTTCGATAGACACTGTCGTTCACTTTTTTGCCACGGCTCTGCGGTACGACTGGAAGGTCAAAGTCACCTTTTCTGGTTAAAAGTGAATTTTAGAAAATGAATTCGACGTCCTTTTATCGGTTTTTATCGGTTTAAATTGAAAATGCTGAACCTAAAAATTTACCTTTTTAGGTTAAAACCGAATTTCCGAAAATGAATTCGGCATACCTTTATCGGTTTTTATTGGTTTAAACCGAAAACTCCGAACCTTACGTATGTCACAGTGACAGCAGAATGGCACTCGCATAATTCGTTATTATTGGGGCATTACTGTCCTTTCTGTGCCTCCTCCTGAGCATGATTCTGATGATTTTCACTCAATTTTAGGGGCAAAGCTCCTCAGGGTCCAGCCTTGTCCGTCCGGCCGGCGTCCGTGCTCACATAGAAAGAGAAAATGTTTTTGCAGTCTACGGGATTCGAACTTGTGCAGGGAGACCCCAATGGGTTTCTAGTCCATCGCCTTAACCACTGGGCCACGACTGCGGGACGAGTAGGGGGCTCTGAGATGTGGTAGTAACTCAAGAGCTGGGGATGTCATGGATGAAATGTTGCATGTAGCCGCTCAACGTCTATACAGGAGAGGGCACTGCGATCAAATGCGTATATAATCACGCTAAACTTTGCATGCATTGGCTCAACGTTTATAGATGAGAGGGCGCTGCGGTCAAATGCCCAAATGCGTAAATAACCATGTTCCATACCACACATTCTCTTTCTGACATGGACCGTTGACTTAAGCGGTGGAGATGCATTCCCACGGCTTCTAACGGATTCAAGCTGATCCGCTAGAAGAACCACTGGCTCTGCATTTCACCGACCATAAGGCAGTAATAATGAAGTCGAAATGCAACCCGGAACTCAGCACTACCTATGAGCACCATCAGCACTACCTATGAACAATAAAATCAGTATCATCAGCACCACCAGAGCTTCGCCCCAATCAACATCATTCACCATGTGGAGATGCGGTCATTTTTGCTATCGCTCTCGATTTCACTGCCGTATCCGATCCGTACTTCGTCTACGACAAGCCTCGCGAGCATGTTGTACCTGAAAGTCATATTCTTCAGACCTGCAACTAACTTTCCGAGGTCTAGCCATACGGCATGCAGGTTTGTCTGCTCAGATGGTCATGCGTAAGCGCCAGCACGATGGGTTGTCGACCATACCTACTGTCAAAGTTAGAACGGCAAGATGCCTTTTTCGAATGCCTGGCCTCTAGCAAGCGCTCGTTGCTTTTTCTAGAGCTCATTGATTTTTGACGCTTGTCCTGGCCGTACGGCACAGAAAGTCTTTGCGAAGGACGACAACGCTATTTCCCGGCAAGCTCACCACTAACAACTCTCGCAGTAAAACGAATCTGAACAGTCCAACACTTGTTATCACCTGCTGCGACTATAGTTGGTGACAGCTGCTAAGACCAGAGCGAGAAATTAAATGAAAGCTGCCTTGTCCTCTCCCTGTACCTCTCCCCAGACGCACGCGGCGTGCCGGTCCCAGCACCCCGTGCAGTGTCCGCTGGGGGTGTGTCGGACGTCCATCGTGCCCCCAACGGCGCTGCACAGCACCGGGGGAGGCTCGGAGGAGCCCTGGGAGGCGGTGCTGCCTGCGCGTCGGGGCAGTGGGGGCGGGAGCCAGGGTGTGGCGCAGCCTGGGGGGCAGCCACCGCCCGGGGCCGTGGGCAGCACTCCACTGCTGGTCTTCGTCAACTCCAAGTCCGGCAACAATCAGGGGGTGCGATTCATCCGCCGCTTCAAGCAGCTCCTCAACCCGGCGCAAGTGTTCGACCTCATGAACGGCGGGCCCGGGCTGGGGTGAGAGATTCAACTTCTTCCGCGTGTCTGTTTCGGCCGTTCCGGACAACTTTGTCTATGACAGAGCGTAGCTTTAAGTTGTAAATATTTAAATGTAAGCATGTTCAACAGACATCTGTTGGGTTAGGGGGGGGGGGGGGGTTAGGGAGACAGTTTTGAGATGCTCCTACCCTTGAGGTGCTTGTGTTGCTCTTGTGACACTTTTGAGATACTCCTGAGGCGCTTTTGTAACTATTCCCGAGACGCCCCTGAGATGCGTGAGATGCTCTTGCCACATTCTCTTTGGGTTGCTCTTGAGACACTGAGATTATTCCCAAAATACTTCTAAAATGCTTGGGAGGCTGTTGTGATATTCTCGAGATGCTCGCGAGATGTTTCTGGTATTATTACCGAGAGAATCTAGGACACTCGTAAAGCATTCACAACACCCTTATGAGGCTCCCGAGGCATTCGTAAAACCACAAAATTATTTTTATAACACCAATCACGCCAAAACGTAGATCCAATATTTGAACCAGCCTTAATGCTATTGGCATTACACAAACCCGAGTGCCTGACACGGCCTGAATGTCGTTTCTCCGTTCAGCCTGCGGATGTTCCGGGCCTTCGTGCCCCTGCGGGTGCTGGTGTGTGCGGGGGACGGCAGCGTGAGCTGGGTGCTGAGCGAGATGGACCGGCTAGCCCTGCACCGGCAGTGCCAGACCGGGGTGCTGCCCCTGGGTACGGGCAACGACCTGGCCCGGGTCCTGGGCTGGGGCTCCGTCTGTGACGACGATGCGCAGCTGCCCCAGCTGCTCGAAAAGTATGCACGGGCCACCCCGAGGTTGCTTGACCGGTGAGTTGCACTGGCGGAATAGAACTGCTTTTACTGTGACTGTTGCTGTGACTGAAACCAGCTGCAACTGGGAACAACTGCAACTGGTTTTGTACTTCTTGTATGGTAACATGGACATCACTTATATGGACTAGGTACAGTTGGCGCTTGATTACTGGGTTGATCAGTTCCTTTATGAGCAGCCATTTGACATGATGCAGGTTGTTTTGCAAATGTGACCACATGCCGACACAAAGGTGCACCATTCCCCTTTTCCAAAGTCCACGATAATGATGCACGTGGTGCCTCACACACGGAATTTTGCGGGTGGTTTCGTGAAGAATCACATTACATGAAATGACTTTTTACATGGTTGGGCTGGGCTGATTTACATAGTGCTTTGGTTTTTACAGCGATAGCTGTTGTGGGTTCTTCCCACCTCTGGAAATAAAGTCCGTTGTTGATGTTGTAGTAGCAGTTGTCATTGTTGATGTTGTTGTAGTTGGCAATGTAGGGCGTCTGGCGTCAATGTTGCCAAATCCTTGAAAAAAATCGCCTGCCGCCCACCGAAATCGAACTTCCGTTTGCTTAGTGTGAAGTGGGGCGCATTACCATCAGCCACACCACAGTGTTAATGACCCACTCTAAATTAGGGTTTTTGTAGTGCCCAACGCCCACTGCAAGCGCTTTGTGGAAAAAAAAGTAGCCTATAAAAGCTTGCCGTCGTAGCACTGTCAAGTCCAAGAGCTTCTGCTGGGAGATGCGCTTTCACGCACTCCGTTAAAAAAGAAACAAAAGCGTTTGGAACAAACAGATCTCTATTTTGCTCCAAACGCTTTTGTTCACGCACCCCAGAGTGCGTGAACGCAACGCCGATGCCCACCGACTTCGCCGTGATGTGTCGCAGCTATCGCTGTGACTAATGTGGATTTAAACAGGACTATTCAATTTTTTTTCTAAATGTGTCGTCTTTTTTTGTATTGTTTCTAGATGGAGTATCATGACGTATGAAGGGACCATGCCTCAGCCTTCCAGGAAGCTTTCCACACCAGTATGTCAGTTCCCCATTTCACCATATTATTACGGCTCAATGGCTTAAAAAATTTGGTAGCTTGGTGCATGAATTTTGTTTTTCATTTGCCATAATCCATTGGGTCAGCTGTGTTGTATGAGTACTATAACAGACACTGTTTTCCTCTTGTGACTTTTATCTGTTTACAGTTTGATGCAATCAGCGTCTACGAGGATTCCGTGGTGGCACATCTTTCACAAATACTCCACTCGGACCAGCACTCGGTAGTCATCTCATCAGCCAAGTGAGTAGCTCTACCTCTCCAAAACAGAAGGAGCCATGGCAAATTTAGTTCTGTACTCTGTTATAAGTTGTAAGCTTACCTGAACTAATACAGTCGAACCCTGATATATCGAATTCAAAGAAAGTCGCAAAATAGTTCGATATATCAAAAATTCGATATACAAAAATATGTTAAATTAAGCTTGAGTTGAAATTTTTTGGCGTCTCTGCTAATATCGGAGGTCATGACAAATGGGAGCTTACCAAATAGAGTATCCAAGAGCCGCTAAATACAGTAGAGCATAGTTGGCAAAGACCCCAAGCACCGCCGTGCTTACAGACGCGCCTGGCCGGTACCTCCACACAGCATAAGAAACAAAACATTAATATAATAAAAAAAAAATGAAAGAAAAATGGCAAAATGAGAAGAAAAAAAAATCATAAAAAAAGTTAATCAAGCAACAAAAAGGAAAGCTCACTAAATTCAAATAACAAAAAAAGAAAAGCCCAAAAAAATGGTAAAGCAATATTGGTAAAAGAAATATGTAAACAAAGATGGGGTGTTGGAAGTGCAATTGCACAACTGTTGTCGTCAACACGCTTGACTTGCTGAAGACTTTTTTTTTTTGCTCATTTTATTTTGGGGTTAGGGAGTTGCGCACCATCAGCAGTGTTCAGGGAAAGGGTGCAGGCTACCATTCTGACAGCGAACACTCCCTGCTCTCCCTTCCCCTACCTCCTGCTATGTCCTTCCCCTACCTCCTGCTATTGCCATCCTCCATGTTTTTTTTTTTTTTATCCGTTGTTTCTCTTTTTTCCCAACTGCTCTTTTGCTGCGTGTCTTAGCGCTTGTATGCTGGCTTGGCAATCTGCCAGCCCACAACCGCCACCGGCACACAAAATAGGCAACGGGAAGCCAAGCTTTGTTCGCTGTATCGAGTGTCCCCGCCATGGGAGTTGGATACAAAAAGTCAATGCTCCTATAGTATTACATGTGATTTTCAAGGGGATGTTTGGATTGTTTGATACAAACGATAATTTGAAATACCCGAGTGCGATATAACCGGGCTGGACTGTATTTAAACTCTCACTCCAGCTTTAACTGAAACTTAATGAGAAACTGGAACTGAAATTTTAACTAGCTGAAAGTTTAACTGAAACTCGAAATGAAACTTAAACTGAAATATTTAAACTCAAACTGACCTTAAACAGAAACACAAACTGAGGCCCGACCTGCAAGTAATTGGAGCGTGTTTAATATTCTAAATGACATTGACCTTGTACACCGATTATGACTACTTTGAGCTCATGTCCATTCCGTATATACTCAAACATTTCATAGTCGTAGTTTACCAGCTACTTAGCTCTTTCTTGCACGTTTTGACCTTAGCAGCTCTTGCATCATGAAACCCCAACCAGCCAGCTTATATAAAGGAGATTTCATTCTTGTAAAAGCATTTTCAATAGAGCTCTACTGTGAGCTCTTTGGCCTTCTTGCAGACTGCAGTAAACCTGTTGCAGAATGTGCAGCACCCTATGTGATGCCCAAAGGAATTGTGGGAATTGACTGTAGTAGACGACATAGGCAACGAAAGCAAGGACAGGGGCAGAAAACTGGAAAACACTCCTGCGAAAGAGAGAGAGAGGGGTAGCTGCCTTCAGTATCCTCTACGGTCTTCAATGTCACACTATAGATTCTGTAAGAGGAGGAGAGTACAGGACAATCCCATAACTCCTTCCGCGGTTTTCGTGCACGTAGTCTTTGCAGATTTTTGCAACTAGCCTATCGCAGCCTCTTCTGAGTTTGCAGTGAAGCCCTACTGTAAGCATGATTGTGGCGGTGAAGTCTGTTTTATCCCGAGAGATGAGGCACAGTTTTCTTCAAGCCTGTTTTCACGTGTATACAGGGTCCTGTGCGAGACCGTGAAAGACTTCATCGCCAAGGTGGGTGCCGCGGACATGCGGGGTCGTGCCGAAGGAGACAAGGACTCCATTTCTCACAAGGTATGTAAAGTAGGAGAAGGGCTGAACACGCAAAACAACGAGGATGGTAGAAGGAGAAGCGCTGAACTCGCAGCTAAACATGCATTGAAAAAACTCTAACGGAGGAAACCTCCATGTCATGGTGGCTTCAGCATTTTTCCAAGAATGCAATCTCCTTTCTGTAAATTAACGGATGTTTGGCATGTTGATGCCATCATAACATGAATGGTTTCTTTGTTTGCTTGTTCACAGCTACTGTCTAGTTGCGAGTTTAGTGGTTGTCTTCGGCAGTACTCGTATTTTTGCACGCTGCATACTTTCGTTTCAAACATGGACCAACTCGTCCGCATCGCTACTTCGAAGGAAAAGAGGGGAGTGTTCCGCACTTTATGATCCTATGAAATTGTCCCATCCACGTTGCAGTGCAAAGTGCTCAACGAAAAGCTGGATTCCCTGCTGAAGACGCTCAAGGAAGAGTCTCTGGCCACAGAGCAGGCGGGACCCAAGGAAGCGAGGTCCTCGTCCTCCGAGATGCACAGCGGAGCGGCCAAAGACGCAGGGACGGAGAAAGGGGATCCAAAGGCAGGATCTGTGAAAACCCCGACGGTATGCTGAAACCTTGTTGTAGATCGTGGGTTTATAGCAATCGAATCAGTTATTTTAGTTTTCGTCGAGTGATCGTGCGTAACAGTTGAATAATTTGACACCTACTTGGTGGTTACTGTCGTGTGCTCTGCTGCCTGTTACTATAGCGTCTCTCGTGTCTCCCACACGGTCCGAAAACATGTTTCTTTGGCAAACCCATGTTGCTGACGATTGTCTTTTCGGCATATTTTATTTTTTTGTAGGTACACTCAATTGTAATTTGTGCCCGAGGCTTTGGTCTTCGGTGTGGAGAATCAAGCCTGGTCCTTTCTCACGGTTTTAATGAACGGCCATCACAATGTTATGGTTTGTTGCGACGTACGAGTGTGAAGAGAAACCCCTCCCACAAAGCTCTCTACTTTTCATGATTCGGAGTTTCCTCCTCTCCACTCGCCTGCTCTCCAGCATCCACCTTGCTAAAATAGAAAGGTAGAGGCCTTTGTAGGAGGAGCTTGCCCGCTATTCTTAACCTGTAACATACCAGTTCTTTTAATGTTAGGGCTATTACAGTTTGAGTCGGACCACCTTTCGAGGAAAAACAGAAGACAAAATTGTGTTTTATATTTTATTTCTTAGATTATTTTAGCATTTGTTTTCCCTTTCCTTCTGACTACGTATCTCGGGATGTATGGTTTATCTTAATTGTCTATTGAAAATGTTTCCCTGACGTCTTTCTCTGCCCTTTTCATTTACGGTGCGTCCTTTACATGCAGGCAACTTTCATTCAGAAGGAGGCTCTCATGTTGAGGGCCAACAGTCTCAAGAAGGCAGTGAGGCAGATCATCGAGCACACGGAAAGAGGTGAGGCTTATTTGGCATGCAGGTTTGCTATTGCCTTTTGCTTTCTGCTATATACAAGTCACTGACAGAGTGACTTTCGCTTGGGAGCAGCGTCGGAGCAGTGTCGGAGGACATAACCGACCAGCGAAAGAAAGTAAACGACACACAGACGAAATCTGTCGGCAATAAGAGCGCCATCGGCGCTGTCGTTATGCGACCGGATTTTTTTTAAATTTTTGTTACTTCAACTTTTGCTATCATTGTCCGCATTTATCTCTAAGCCAGCACTTTCAATATTTCTTTAAAAGCATGCCGGAACAAGGAGGTAGCGCCATCTACCAATAAGAGTGCCAAACGCGCCTTGCCACTCGACTTGGTCCTCTGCATCGTTGCCCGCCGTTTACCGTGGCAAGTTTCTTGGCCCTATCTTTACGGAAAGGGGGCGTCGCTTTGCAATTTTTTATTTTTACAAGAGAAAACCGACCCGTAAATTACACTTTTGACAAAAAGTTTAGATTGCTACGTGCAGGCGTCGATTTTTACGGTCCATTTTAGATCGAGCCTGGGGACTTAATTGGGACACTTTATATAATAACAGTTTTAACAGGCCATAGTCTTGTTTGTCGCATAGTTCCTTTTCAAAAAGGAGTTCAATGACAAGGTCAGAAGCTGCAACACTGCTGATTTAATGGCAGTAATGGCACTGCATCGCCAAAACTTTGAAGCCTCTATTTCGTCAAAGAGAGTGGAGATTCTTTTCTTGCTGTCTGCAGTATGCCGTCATGGCTTTCAATTTTTGTGGTGCAAATTGGTCATTCCGTGCCATCATTACAGTGTTGGGTAAAGTACATCTAAAAACTGCTTGAAGTAAAGCACAAAATAAATTAGAGGATGTTCTTCAAGTAAAGTAGTAAGGACACCGGACACAATGTACTTGATGTAAACTATACAATAAATACAATATACTTTCAAAGTAGAGTAGAAGTACTTTTTGACAATATTTTATAATGCCCATTTATTCCTCTGTACAGTGTTTTTTTTTTTGTTTTCTTTTTTTAAATCTGGTATGCATTGTTTTAGGGGTAATGGGGAGTGCATCAGTTATTTTTAGAAATGGCGGCAAATATTGGATAAAATCAAGTGGCCACAGAGTAGTTGTTTTACTCTAGCTGACAAACTATCACAATCAACTTATAAGGGACTTATTTGTATCGATTTTATAGCTGCCAATAAGCGATGCGTTGTCTGCTTGCGTTTCTGGTGAAAGTAGAATATCCCTGCCGGTATTTCTTCACAGTTGATAAAGTATCATTTTGTGATACAAATTTAACATGATCAAATTTGGGAAATGTACTTTGGAGTCGGGTGATGTACTTTCCGCAGAAAGTAGCTGAAAAAAATACTTTATAAGTAAAATACAAGTGCATACTCAGAGAATGAACTTCAAGTAAAGTAGCAGTTTTCTAAACCTACTTGAAGTAGTACTACTTCAAAGTACTTCCCAACATTGCATCCTTAGAATGGCAGGTTTAAACTGACCTTTAGAAAATGTGTTCCATAAAATCCCGAGAGATAGCCCACCTATCAAGAGTGAATCGGCTGAAAATATGGAGTGGGCCAACTTTCAATGTACAATCAAGAAAAGCTTTAAAAGATTGCTATTCTTAGGTTGTGCCTCTTCCAAGCTTGTCAGGGTGGTAAGGGGCAACGAAGCAAATAAGACTGTACTTCCCAGTCAGCAACGTTCGCTTATATCCTGCCATAGCGAACTAGCCGCATTTATGCCGAGGTCATCATTGATCTCAACACTACTCTTACTAGGAGTGGGCTATCTTTCGGTGCTTAAATAAGTATAGCAAATCAAGCCAAAAATAGGGGTGGGCTATCTTTCGGGGGTGGGGCATCTCAAGATTTTACGGTAGTCGTATGTTTTTTCGGAATGGTTTCACTCCCAGTATTGTCAGCCTGTACCTCTGTGCTTATTAACTGGAAAAATGTGTAGATATTAGAAATATGGTGAAGCTTTTGGATGTTAAATCACTCGAAAGCGAGTCTTGCAGCCCAGAAAGCTCAGAATATTTGGTAGACTTGAAATCATTACCCACTCGTGCATACATTAGCCACTGTATACCCCAGTATCAACAGGCATTATGCTAATGATAAACAAAGATCTCTTTTTATACACTTGTATAGAAGCTCATAGTAGAATGCAAGGGGTCGTAATGCAGTCGGTTGCACTCACACTAAATGTCTGAATCAGTCTTATGCTGCCAAGACCATAATTGCTGTCACTGTAAAAACTTGGATTGTCTATCCTGTTACGCTGTATGAAAGCAGGGGTTGACTATCTTCGTGTTTCTTCATCGACGAAATGATGTCGAGAAAACGGGAGTACCACAGTTTTTTGCACTTTTATTCGATGGGAAGCTTTTGTTGCATCAGAGACGAGAACAATAGACGAGTCTATTGTTGTTGTTCTCTTGTTACTCTTGTCTCGTGCAGTCGGCAACAACATAAACCGAGACAGCCGAGTGCTGGCTGAGGGGTGTAAAATTCCGCATGAGGTGCCTCCAGAATGCTAGGCCATGGAACCTGCTAGCATACTGCGACGATAGGAAACGTGGCAGTCCATTCTGACGTCCCCTTTTATTGATCTTAAAAGGGAAGATGGGGCGGTTCTGCATTTGAGAAAAAAACACTTGAATTGTATTCACTTGGCCGTTAGAATAACAGATATCACAATTATGTTTCAATGCGACGCGCCGGAGAGCCATAAGAGCAGTTTGAAAATAGGGCTGAAGCCCCGCCTCCCTAGCCTTGGGCAGCCAAAAGATCCGTCGATGACGTCACATACAGCGAGTGTCTTTTGCGTTTTGTCACGTTTAACAATGCTTGCGCAGCAAATGCTTTCGTTATTCAGGTTCACGGGGTAAAAATACACTAGAATTCACTTCTAACTCATTTTTTTCAAGAAGCTCCGTAGCTTCCCTTTAATGCAGCTGGGGTTCTCATATGGCATTTTTAATGTTCCAGCCCATATTGCCACTGTACCAGCTCGCTGCCACTGCTTTAGCTCATATTTCCACTGTACTAGCTCATTTTGCCACTGTACTATACTCTGTTTTACTTTAAGGGGGGACACTACCCAAGAGGGTCCACTTTTGAACCTTTGGCTTAATATGAATGACATTTACGGCATATACTGGCATTTGCAAGGCAGAATGCAGTGCTAAGTTTCATCTGAGTACATGAATTGTAAAATAAATTATAGTCGTTTTTATCAGGAACACACCGACTTTGCTTAGGAAAACATTTGTTGGGAAACTAATGTAATACCCAACATTTTTCTTCACTAGATACTCAGCAGAATGCCTGGAGAGTGCAACTGTGAAAACAAAAGTTCCAAAAAGTAATTTATTTTATGCAAATATCGCAGTGAAAAATTTAATAAATTTTTTGCCTTTTATGTTGTCGATAAAATCTTAACATCTTTTATAAAAGACATCCACAAAGTAAAAAAAACAATTCCACAATTGCATTGCCCATAAAATTCCAGTTAGGAAAAACAATGAGTGAGTCTTTTCTCTTGTCCCATTAACAAACGATAGTTTTCCTAAAGTGAAATTTATGCCAAAATGTGGAACGGAGGAAAATGCATTCAAAGTGTTCCAGCCCTACCTTTTCTTTAGTATTGGTGGACCGAAAATAATTTATAAAAAATGAACTATGCAGTGTAATCTAATGAAACCTTCTGCGAATACTCTCTACATGTTGGTGGATGCAAATACGGCATTTTTCAAAATCAACCTTTTTTGCAGAAATCGTTTTTTCTGGGTAGTGTCCCCCCTTAAGTGTGAGCATAGCAGAAGTTACAAGTGCGAGCTCTGGGCTTCCAGCGTCCGTGCCTAGCACGCACGCTCGTGCAGTGCAAGCACTGTTCAAGACCACATGCTTGCAATCATAGTATTGTCTGCATTTGGACTTAGGGTGAAACGAAGTATATCTTATATTTCCACTGGACTAGCTCATATTGTCACTGTACCAGCTCACATTGCCACTGTACCAGCTCACATTGCCACTGTACCAGCTCACATTGCCACTGTACCAGCTCACATTGCCACTGTACCAGCTCACATTGCCACTGTACCAGCTCACATTGCCACTGTACCAGCTCACATTGCCACTATCCAGCTCACATTCCCACTGTACCACCTCACATTCCCACTGTACCAGCTCACATTGCCACTGTAGCAGCTCACATTGCCACTGTACCAGCTCACATTGCCACTGTAGCAGCTCACATTGCCACTGTAGCAGCTCACATTGCCACTGTACCAGCTCACATTGCCACTGTACCAGCTCACATTGCCACTGTACCAGCTCACATTGCCACTATCCAGCTCACATTGCCACTGTACCAGCTCACATTGCCACTGTACCAGCTCACATTGCCACTGTACCAGCGCACATTGCCACTGTACCAGCCCATATTGCCACTATACCAGCTCACATTGTCTCTCATGTTGCCACTCCCCGCACAGCTGTGGATGAGCAGAATGCCCAGACCAAGGTGCGAGAGGAGCAGAGCGAGGAGGAACGGAGCGTCTCTGACCAGCGGAACATGGAAGACTTCTCTTTCTGGCCGGGGGAGTACGGCCAGGGCGCGGCGGCAACGCTCGGGGACCAGGGGCCGGGCCCCATGATGGTGACGGTCACGGAGCCTCCAGAAGAGCAACCGGGAGCGGAGCAGCCGGCTCCACCGCCGGAGCAGCAGCTCTCATTGCTCACAGCCAGCCTCCGCGAGGCCGAGTCCACGGGGCAGTGCTGGGATCCGTGGGGGATCGCCATGGGCCAGAGCGTGGGAGCCTCCCTCAAAGACACACTCCAGGCAAGGGCTTGAAAGTGCTGTGGTTTAGGTTGACCTTAAAGGGGTGTAACCCTTTTGCTGTCGAGTATTTTTTCTTTCTTCTTTTTTAAAAAAAGACACTTTAGTGATCGAGTTTAATTTCGAAATTGGAATAATAAATAAGTCGGGGGTTTTCCTAATTATCTAATGGGAGCCCATACTGTGCTTGCAAGCTGTCCAGACTGAACAGCCCCAGCAAGGCAAAACATAGTACAAATACAAGAATTTAACTTCCCCAAGAACGTAACCGATAGCACCATCTCCCAAACAGTGCACATTTCTGCTTTTGAGTTGGAATTTTCGAATTCTTAGTCGCCGCCGTTTATGTATGGCGTGGGACCCTCGAAGGGTTAGGGAGTGAATGCCTTTTAATGCAGAATGCATTTTGACGGAAGTGGAGTTTGGATTTGCATAGCTGTTACCTTCGCGCCATAGCCATGGCCGTGCCATGCCGTGCCGTCGCGGGCCGTATTTAGCGCTAACGTCCCACTAAGTTATGGGTCGCACGGTCACGTGGCTATGACAAGGTGGCATGGCATGAAGGAGCTTCGGGTATCCTACCCCCAGCGTGAGCTTCCTTGTTCAATGACACTTGGGCGTCTCGTTCACCTCGAGCGCGCATGCCTGAGCCCAATTATAACGCAAGACACGAAGCTTATGCTGGAAGCCGGGGGTTCAAAAGATGCGCCCCACCCTTCTTGGTCTGTCAGTAATTATGGTGTAACTACAGGTCACGTGACCATGGGATGTGCCCTGCAAGGTCGCGCGTCGTCACAGTGTCGCGTGACTCGAGGTGGAACGTCATGGCAGCGTGGTGTCAACGGTCTACGCGGAGTGAAAGTTTGTCTGCTTCTTGCAGAGGAGTTGCAGTGATGTCAGTGACGCAATGACTTGACGTCTAACCAAATATATCATATTTGATTAGAAAATATTCGGTTCAAACCACTCTTTGCTTAGAATTCACTTCGAACTCAAAATCCATTATTTGCACATGCCTACTAGTATCATTATCGTACTGCTATAAGCCTTTTTTTAAATTTTACGGGGACATTTGCTAAGCTATGCAGAGAGTCAAGGGGCCCAGAGAGCTTGGAAACAGTTCCAAAAGATAGCAATTACTGGTCTTTCTCAATTAATGGGCCATGTGTTATCACCTCCCTTTGCTAATAGCCTTATCAGGATGCATCGTGGGGATCCAGTCACAAAGCATTCGGTATTAATTGCGAAGCTTCAATATGCGAGACTACCTCACACAGCGAGGGCAGTTGTGAACGGTATGGAAATTATTCCTTGTCTTGCCTTTCTGTATGGGTTTCCAATCATAAAGCATTGGCTACTAATTACAAAAATTCAGTAACGTAAAGTTGTTTTGCGCAGAGAATGCAATAGCCCACTTGCTAAATCGCCGAAGCACAAAGGAGCATCCTGTGGGTGTAGTTATATGTGCTGTGTGTGCTGGCTTTCGCAGTAACTGTTCCTTGTTAAAAACATTAAAGGGGGTGCAACGATTGCCGGGCTTCGATCAAAAATTTGTGGAAGTTTCCCTCTGACACTTCCGAAGTAAAGAACAGAAAACCGATTTCGCCTGCGTGTCCTAGTTGTTGAGTAAGAAAAACATAAATATTGGCATTTTGGGCACCCATCAACTCACTCCCAGTCTTCAGGGTCACAGCTGGTCTCCCTCCTGATGACATCATTCGGGGTGCCATGTAGGTTCCCGTGTGCTCTCTCGGAGGACACTTCCTCTCCCTCTCTCTGCTGACATTAGCGGGCGTTATGCTGCAGCTTAGAGCCGAGCGAGGTCACATAAGCTTCTTGCCGTATTTCCTTCAGCTTCCACTCGTGGCTTCAGGTGGGGGAAAAAGCTTGACCTTTGCTTTGCAATTATGCAGCGGAATCGCAACATTTTTTAATGAAGGAGATGTTTTCTCTATCCTCCAGGACACGATAAACAATGTAAAAATGACGAGATGCAAATTCTTTTAATCTAAAAATCGTTGCACCCCCCCTTTAACCAAATGACACTTTGCGTGTGCGCTTGCACACGCAAAGTGTGCAAGCGCACACGCACGCACCTTTTTATTATTTATATAGAATCATACTGATAAGTCAAGCATGTGCAGTATGTGTACAGTGCTCCTCAGACTTAACGCCACCACTGGGTTACCCAAACATTGATCTACACGGGTTACTCAAAGCTAAAATGGTCACTACAGCAGCCGGAACGTGTTCCTTAGTCATGTCATGACTGGAGGATCAAAACTTCACTGCATATGCTTTAACCAGTAGGCCCAGGAGGGGTGCGAAAAGTGCCAGAAAGGGACCATTTTGGCGCGGTCTTATGTTTGGGAAACACCGTATACCTATATTCCCAGCGTTCTCGCGGGTAGTTGGATAATTGAGCAAACAGTGACTCCTCTCGTCTTTCTGCATCTCAGGTGACGCTGGCGACGATCGAAGGGGGCCTGAGCGTGGACAGCTCCCCGTGCCCGTCGCCCCGGTCGATGGCCATGACCCCGTCGCCGACCCCGTCCCCCTGCAGCTTGTCCCCGCTGCCCGACACCCCGGGGCAGACCCCGTCCCCCGTCCCGCCCCATCACCCGTGCACCCTGGCCCTGACCCCGACCACGGAGGAGGACGACGAGGAGCGGTCGTGGAACCCGCCGAAACCACCGCCACGCAAGCACAAGGGTGAGTGGTCGGTTGACGTCAACGTCTTTGACTTCCTGGATCCTTAAGAAAAGGATTGCATTGAATTTTCTATACACTGTCTCACCGTAACTTGGCAAACGGCAAAGGCTACGGTACTAGTGAGCCAGTCACCACGTCGGAGGGAGACACGTGGTTGTACTCTATCTCACTACAGTCGAATCTCGTTAATTCAAACTCAAGGGGGACCGAAAATGTTTTTGATTAAAGCAAAGTTTGAATTAGCGCGAGTTTCACCCCATAGAGACACGTAGGATGGGACCTTCATGCTAGTTCTAATTAAGAGAGTCTGAATTAACCAGATTCGACCGTACAGTGCAATCCACTTATAACGACAACGAGAAAACCCAAAATTTCAATTGTGATAACCGACTATCGTTCTATCTAGACTAGAATCTGATCGTTTCTAGACTAGAAGCTATAGAAATTGATCGTTATAAGCTGTACATCATTATATGTTGTATCGTTATAAGTGGATCGCACTGTAGTTGCGCGCAGTGTTGTCAAAGCCACGGGCAACAAGGAGAGAGGAGCTGCTTTTGTGCAAATTTCGAGTGACGAGCTAATCTTCTAAGGGGAGGAAAGCGACATCTGGGACGCAGAAAAGAGGGTTCGGGTAAGAGAGGAGTTCCTCCTTCGCCTCTTCTCCAACTGCTTGGGTTATGCTCTCGCCCACGTGCATTCGTTAAGGGCCGTGAGGTGCTTCGGCTTTGTCGCTTTAATTAGCTCAAGGGGGCCATAGCAGTTGCCAAGTTATGATGAAACGAAGTATAGGCCGTGGCAGTGATGGAAACGCTGCATTGTTTGTGCCACGATTCCCCCGAAATGCCGAATTCCGCCTCGTAATGGCAAAGGCAGAAATGGATTACTGTAAACTACTTAATTTTTACGAATTTTGCAAATCGTCTACAATACGCGAAAAATAGGTTCCGCAAACAATTTCGGTAAAATGTAAATACATTGGAATCCATACTGAGATCCCACCGCGTCGCGAAAATTAAAACCCGCGAAATATTTTAAAACTTCAACTTTGACCTTAATCGCGAAATATTGAGCTCGCGAAAAATAAGTCGTTTACAGTATCTCCCGATCTGCAGCTGCTTATGGCAGCCACATGGGAACTGCGGTGCGATGTCATGGGGAAAGCACTGTTGCGAGTTAGCAATTTGTGGAATTTTCTACTTAATTTGAGGTTAAGATCTGAAAATTCTGTCGCTTATGCAGGAATAAATGCGTTGAGTCTCATAATATTCCCAAAGTTTATTAATTTTTCATGGTAACTGCTTCTTCTCCCCTGCCACTGTCTTGTGGTGAACTGGATTTGTTCAATGAACAGACTTGCATTTTATTTTTGTCTCAACTTTGATTGCCCACCGTGATGGGTGTAATAATGCTAATAATAATATGAGGAATGATAACTTTTATTTGCACGAGTATAAGATGCTGGGAGGTATTCTAGGTGAGATGAAAAGGTGAAAGCCTGTATGCAAGTGTGTCTGCTGGCCAATCTCCCTGGAAAGCAATTTAAAACAAACTGACTGGCCTGATTGGGCAAAGGCCCAAAGTTTCAAACAAATTACTGCTTTCCAATCACTTGCTCCGATTCAAGACTTCTGCTGGGAGGCAAGATGCCATCCTCGAATGACATTCGGGCATTTCCGAGTCTCATCGGTCGAGGTTTGTACGAACAAAGAACACTCGAGTATCGAGTTCACTTACAAAAGTGAAAAAAAGATTGAAAAAGATGACAAAACCGGAAGGTGATTCTCCAATGGGGAGCACCCAGTGCCGCCTATATATTATTTTCAAGATAGGCTCGAGGCATTGATGTCAGTTAGAGTGATAGAAGGGTGAAGCAGTTGTGAACTTGATAACTTTAGGTAAGTACCATTCATCTGAACTAGGGTGCCATGGAATGCGTCTTCGACTGGTCTGTTTACCGCATCCAAAAACGGGGCCTTTTTCGCCCAGAATTTGCGAGGAAGTAAAAAGTCCGACAACACCCAAGTCCTTCTTATGAGCTGGAATTCGAAAGCATGAATGTCGTTCTCCCGCTCCCTTAGTCCGTCTGTGGCATAGTGGCATGGACGGCCACATTTCGCTATGGTCAAGTGCGCGCTCTCGTGAAGTGGCCACGCTGCGCTGAGCTCGGCCGTGCAGCCTCTCTGGAGTTTGCCCGAGCGGGCTGTGCGGCCAGTCCCGCAACTCTTAGCGACGGCCAGGCCGCTGCGTACGCTGTGCCGCCATGGAGAGAGCTTCTCTGGTGGCGTCCACTGGAGCTACGCCACGTGAGAGCCAATGGGAGCCTTGTTTCTTGAAACTATGACGCGTGCCAGCCAATGGGAGCCTATCCATCAGATTTTGGCTTTACTTTGCTTCATTAAAACAGGGGAGTTTAGGTGCCGTTTGGTGTGGCTTCAAAAGCTGATGACATTGGTTTGCTTTATGAGACAGTTAATGTTTTCGCATCAATAGTTGTAGCACGTTCGTGCACCTCGGGATTCTCACGTCGCCATGTACGCGCGGCACAGGCGCCCTCTCGTAGGTGGGCAAGACGCCGGCTGCGAACTGCGGAAGGCAGCTGTGCTAAGTAGAAGTGCTTTCGTATTTTGACCTAGTCTGCAGCGAAGCATCACAAAAACAGCCCTTTTTTTTCTTTTTTTTTTTACCGGGACACGTTGTGCCAATCGCCAGGATCGCAACATCCGACAGTGTGACACTTCAGCTCTTTGCAACGTCGTCTGTTGTCACCTCAGGTGCCGTGATCGATGCACGTGCGGAATAAGACGCTAAACACAAGGGTCGTTAACGCGTTCCAGGCACCCTAATCGGAACTGGTGACTCGTGAATATTAGAAAAAATATCATAACACTTCTAACAGTAAAAGCAAGCTGTAAATCGAATCGAATAGCAATACTATTTGCAAATTATCTTTAAGTTTTAAATGGTCGCGCACCTCTACCGTTCGCTCATGTGAACGTTGACACTTCCGCAATGGGTCCCATCGCGGCAGGAGAGGCGGCGTGCCAGTCTCCGACGGGGTCCCGCCGCATCAGCAGCGGGAGCACGCTGAAACACCTCGGGGTGGCGATCCCGCTGATGCGGGGGGACCGAAGCCCCACGGAGGAGGGCCCCCCCTGCGAGCCCCTCCGGCAGCCCCTGCAGCGCAGCTTCCCCATCATCAACCCACTGGCCTCGCTGCCCATGTGGCCCAACCTGAACAAGGAGAGCCTGGTGGGCAAGGTGCTGCTGGCCAACGCGGACGCCCTCTGCGCCGCCGCCTCTCCGCTCATGGACGTCGAGGAGGTCTCCCTGTGAGTGTGCCAGAAGGCATTCTGGAGTTGCGTGCACTGCCTCCTCCTCCCTCTTAACAGCCACCGTACCTCAGAAGGGTTTCTCAAGTTACATGCTGCCTCCTCCTCTACATGCCTTCTACTAGGACCACTGCCTAAGAATGCCTCGTTGAATTATGTATATACGTGTTGCTCAATCCTCTACATGCCTTCTACAATTTTCTAAGAGTGCCTTTTCAAATTATGTATTAGTACTTGGTTTTCTTCTTTGCATGCCTTCTACTAGAACCAATGTTGGACAACTTCTTTTTGAATTATGTTTTATTATGTTGTTTCCTCTGCATGCCTGCTGCTAGAACCACTGCCTTCTTGAATCAAGTAATAATGTGTTGCCTCCTCCTCTACATGCCTTCTACTAGAACCACTGCCTGACAATTTCTCAAAGTATGCATTCATGTGTTGCCTGCCCTGCAATAATCTACTGCTAGCATCGCTGTGCATGCATGTGTTTTCTAATGATATGTGTTCATGCATTGCCTCCTCTGCATGCCTTCTATTAGCACCACTGTTTGGGAATGCTTTCTCGAATTATGTGTCAATGCATTGCCTCCTCTTAGTTGAAGTACATCCTCTAAATATGCACAGTGTGCCCCCCCAAAAAAAAATTTATGATGTTCTTTTCGCTGCAAAATTAAACTATATATCACCCAATGCTCATTCTCTGCCCAAATGTAGCGCAAGCAGTCCAAACTAGATGCCGAAATTTCAGCACAAACCGTTATCTTACTCAAAAGTTATGTGATTTTCTGAAAATTTCAATGGGAAAATGGAGCCTATTTTCGCCGGTTTTCACTAATGGATCTCCGCCATTTCCCCATCGAAAATTTAGAAAAATCAATTATAACTTTTGAATAAAATTATGGCAAGTGCTGAATCTTCAGCATTGGGTTCAGACTGCTGGCACTACTTTTGAGCGGAGAATGAGCGTTCGGCGATGTTAAATTTTGCGGTAAAAAAAACCCTGTAAATTTTTTGGGGACACTCTAGCCTCACGCGCGCTGCTTGAGGGCGCCCCTTTCTTTCTAGAAAGGTCCATATACTACCTTTTTCTGGTACTTTCTAAGGAAAGTACAACTCTGGACTTCAAAGTACATTTTGTCAAATCTGAAAAAATACTGAAAGGGATATTCTGCTTTCACCAGAGACGCGAGCCAACCACGAATCAGTTTGTTTGTACTGGGGACGGCTTTCCTGCAGCGTTTTGAACTCCTGCTACTTCTCACTCGGTCAGGGCAAGCGAGAGGTTAAATATATCAGGAGAGGACACTCCTCCACAAGGGGATTGCTTGCAGAAGCTACAGGGTTGACGTCATGCTCTCTCCTAGAACGTTTGACCCCCTTGGGTGCAAGCCAGTGCAACCATTGCCAGATTCAAAAGTCGGAGGGACTTCTGAGTATGGTGCCATTTCCGAAAGTAACTATTCTGTGGCCACTTGACTATCCAGTATTCGCCACCATTTCCAAAAATAACTGTTGCACCCCCGATTGCTTCTGAGGCAATGCATACCAGTTTTTAAAGAGTTACACTGTATAGGGGAATGAAAGAACGTCATGAAAGATTGTGTTAAAAAGTGCTTGTACTTTACTTCAAGTAAATAGTGGCCGCTGTACTTACTCAGGGTTCGTACAGCTCCTTGAAATCCTTGAATACTCGCGATTTTAATAAAAACCTTTCAAGGGCCCTTAAATCTCCTTGAAAGTTGCAATATGTTCCTTGTATTCCTTAAATATCTGGAAATGAATGACGTGTTTACTGCAAATCATGACGGTTTGAAAAGTTCACTCGCTTCGTTTCATTCGTCCGAGCCACGGTGATGCATGTAGTAGCGCGCAAGAAAATTGTGGAAGAAACGCACTTACCCTGTTGTGGTGTGACCAACATGGCGGCATACTTCTTTCCCGCTTGATGCATTGCTGCCAGACTCTGGCCGCAGGAGAAAGTGTTGTTTTTTCTCCCAAATGTGCCTTCTCCATGCGTAGAAAACTTATCTGACCATTTGAATCAGGCTAGGATGGTATCTCACAGTTTTCATTGCAAAGCCGCCAACGCTTGCTTAAATTGTCATGATGGCGTCGTGCATCAAGCGCCCGTTTTAAAGGGCGTTTCAATCCAATCCCATCGAAGGCATCCTGTGTCATCGCCATTTTGGCTCTGTGTTGCCTTGGTTTTGCCTTCTGATGCCCTTAAAATCTTTCAAAAGTCCTTGAATTTTTCATGAAAATAAATTGTACGAACCCCGCTACTACTTTAATTGAGGTACATAACCTCTCGCTTGCTTTGTGCTTTATTTCAAGTACATTTTAGATGTACTTTGTCCAACACTGCTAAAACTGCTGTGAGAATGCCTTCTCAAATGATGTAGTAGGTATGCCTCCCTTTTAGCACGCCTTCTAACGGAGCCACTCCCTGCGAATACCTTTTTAAATTATGTGTTCATGCAGGCTTTCTCCTCTGCACGCTTTCTACCAGAGCCACTGTCTGAAAATGCCTTCTCGAATTATGTGTTAAGTATGCCTCTTGCCAGAGCCACTGAATGTTCCCAGAGTACCCCTTTCATAGCATCTGCTCAGGCAGAAGAATCGAGCCAGTCGAGCCTTTTGATTGGGTGATTTCAGTTGCGTTGATGCCGGTAGAAGAGACAGGAAAATGAAACCTATAAAAAGTGTATCATGTGTTTCAGGGGTTGTCTACAAAATTCCGTTTGACTATGGTCTATGTCAGCTAGTGGTTCTCAAATGGGGGTCCGCGGACCCTTCGGGGTCCGCAAAGGCATTCCAAGGGTCCGCGAAGCCCTGCCTCACCAGTCATGTCCGGCAATAAAAGTTGTCTTTTTTCAAATTGAGAAGAAACGTTTAAATATTCGGGTGAGTTTTCTCGTGTGTATGTCAATCAGAGAAGCTTACTTCACACTATAGCCTTTAGTTATATCCATTTATTAAATCATTATTGTAATTAACCTATACATTTTCCTTCCCTCATCGCGAACGGAGTCCTCTATCATCTCCGCCGATCCGCAAGGGGTCCGCAAAACATCAATGGTTGAGAACCACTGGTCTATGTTATTGGCCTCGAGATCGACCTAGAGGTGGCGCTACGGTCGCGCTATCATCATCATCAAAGCGGGGATAGGAGAACGGCCGCCCCATAGGCTCTCCACGTTCGCGCGCGAGACGGTGTATTTTCTTGCGTTTATTTTGTCGTGTACTATCGGTGGGAAAACAATTCTAGCGAAAAAGGATACGGTACTGTTTGGTGCTTCAGTGAAGATCAAATCGTGCTGCCAGCGTGCGGTCTAAATTTTTATAATCGCTTATGTAGGTGCGTCGTCTGCTCTGGGCAGACGTTGGAAAGCACGGATCACCACGACTGATGCCTGTCTCCGGCTGAACTGGAATATTTATGTTAAATAATTGTTTCTTTTAAAATGGATGTACCGGTTCATCAACGTGGGAATTAAATAAAAACAATAAATTACAACCCAGATAGCATAATACTGGTACTGTGGGCTGTGAAATCGCAGCTTCTATGTTTTTTCTTTTAACTTCTAGCTTTTGCAGTAATATAAATATTTAGAATGAAGATAAGTTAGCGCTGTATTGGAAGTTACCATGCTATTGAGTTCCTCTGCCCTTTCACTTAGCCATAGTGTGGGTAAGTTGTTTGGAGTCTGAACAAATGTACTGCTTTGCGATGAGGAGAATGTATCTCTTCAAGGTTAAGATCTGCAAACTGCACGGTTGGCAGGACAACTGAAACAAGTGAAATAAATTGTTCTAATATATCTGCCGCGACTGTAATAAACGACTGTAACCGAGCAACGCAGCCGTGTTTTTGTTATTAAATGCTTTTCTCCGTACTGTGGGTTCCCCAGCTTCAATTTTCTCGGTTAGGGCCGCGGATGTCAAGAGGCTAGTACTATAAATGTCTGGCTAAATGATCTTGTATTCAACCACAGTAGACACTGCAACCCCAAAAAACAATGCGCACCACGTCACAGACAGCATCGGCCGCAGTGATACTCTTTTACTGATGAGGGCTAGCGACCTTCACGAGACTTTACAATCACCCTCCGCCCTCACCTAACGTAAATCGGGACTGGGCAGTACATCGGTGAACTTTCAGATTATTCAAGTAATGCTTTATTGCAATTTTCTTTTTGCCAATTAATTGGAGTGTTGTGCTGGAGAAAGTCAACAAGGAGTAAAAAATGCCTTATTTAATATTTTTGACGTCCTTATTTCTTTTGTGACACAGGCTTGCACGGTAAACCACTTCAGCTTGCTTGTCATTTCACCGAGGGTGGTTATACTGTTTAAAATATAACTAAAAAAATACTTCATTTTAAAATGCTTCCAGTGTTCATATTTATGTAGGACTCACAACGTGAAGTTTAGAATGGGAACGCATTATGGCCATTTATGACATAGTAAAACCAGTAAGAAAAAATGTGTAGTTTTAACGTTTTTCATGCAGTATGACCGGCGAAAAATCAAAATACGAATTTGTTGATTGATTAGTCTATTAAAGGATAGCGATCACTCGGGTCTATTTTCTCATCGAACCACAGACCCACTCAACATTCAATGCTTTATGAAAGCCACGGTTTGTGCGAGATAACAAAAATATGTGGGACCAGCGGTTGTATACAAACCAACACACTAAGAATATGGAAGCTTCCGACTTAATAATAATCGCTTTGGTGAATTTCTACGCATGGGAAAGGATACAAACACAACCTTTAGTAAGAAGAAACGGCAACAAAAACATAAAACATTTAATAGGGAATGTCAAGCTCAGTCTGAAACGGCCTTGCGTCGTCAAGATCCATGCTTCTGAGCGTGCGCCCGTAGCAGACGACGCACGGCGGTATCCCCGCTTTCGCGCGTTTCCAATTTCGGCCGCACGGTGGCGACACGGTTCGATCTCGAGGCGAATATTGGTTAGGCCAAGCTCTGTTTCGATTACCGTTTAAACAAACATAGGCGATGAGTTTAAAATGAAAATCTGTATTCGGAGGTTACAAAACACCTACATAAATGTAACAGTTGTGTCCCTTTGTGGAATTTGACCTCTGTAATTTCAACAGACAAAACTTACCACAAGCATCTGTTAAGAGTTGATCTTGAAGTAAAACATGTAAAAAGTAAATAAGACCTTTCTGTGTTTTTGAAAGGGGTGTAGGAAAAAATAACCCCGTGAAAAGTAACCCCGGAATAAATGGCCCCGTAAAAACATTGGCTGCATGTTTGGTCACTGTGCCAAACACGTTTAAATGTGGCAGCTTTATAGGGTGGGTGGTGCCTAGGGCAGGATGACCCTTAGTCTTTCAGTGCCCAGGGCGGTGCTTAGAGTAGGTGGTGCTTAGGTCAGGGTTTTGTATGTAAGCAGATTATGTCACATCATTGTCTTTCTGTTGCACTGCGCACACTTGCCTTGAGTACCAGCCAGACACAAAGCTTTTGCGCCGAATTTTCTGGGTCACCAAGAGAGCGGAAGCACGCTTTCCTGCCTTTTCCACTCCTCTTCGTTCCACATGCTCTTTTACATCACCTGTTTCTGCTCTCTCTTTCTTGCCCTTTTCACCTCTCTAAGCTCTGTTCACTTTCTTGCACCACCTGCCTCTGTTCCTCCCATTCCTACGTGCTGGGTTCTCAGCTCGGTCAGCAGTGCGCACGGCTTCCGGTTCAATCCCCGGTTTCTGTTTTTGTTTTTTCTCAAGATTGTTTAGCAGTTTTGGACTGATTGACCTACACATTTCTTGCTGACATGGTTCCCGAGGTTGGTTGGCCCTATAAATCTATTGATTTAAAATCTGAACACACTGAAGCTCTGAATTGCTGGTGAATCAGAAGGTAATAGGTGTGTTGGTTTTTGTTGCGGTTTTCTGCGTTGCAGCACACAAATGGGGAATGCCTGCCCATTTGCCATTGTGACTTAGTTTCTTAGTAATTAACTGATGCTCGATACACTGCCTGACGTGCAGCTGGTTCTAACTTAAATTAGTTGGAGGATGTGAAATGTATATTTAGGTTGCATGATATTCCTCCCTGTAATAGCCCACGGGCAACAGCATCCAAGATAAGTATAAATAGGTAAATTTCGGCTCAAGTAAACGTGGGTTAATTACCTTTTAATTACCTCCCAAAATACTTTTTTTTAAGTGCCTGCTCAGGACATGTATGTGACAAAAGGAACGTGCTCCGAAAAAAATTAAGTTTTAGTGCATTTTAAGGCACTCATTTTGAGTTAGGAGCGATCTAGGGTCAATGTCTCAAATTAGGAGCATGTTTGGGAATTAACTCTAAACGTGTCTGACATTGTAAATAGTGCGCAAAATTTTTTTTTTTGGTGGGGGGGGAGGGGAGTTTTTTTTGAGACATACATGTCCCATCTAGGCAGGTCAAAAAATGTTGCGTCCCTTTAAGAGTAAAGGCTAGCTCACGCTCTTGTGACCATTTAAGTCCGGATGCCTTGAAACCTCTCAAAACTTTTTATGACGAGAGGCTGCACTGGTGCCCTCTGTCGGGAGGCCGTAGAACGCTGGAGATTTTCATATATTTCCTTTTTTTTCGTTTATCATTCTTTCTTTATGGGCTTGAAAAGCTTTTCACAATGTTGTGAAACAACTATTTCTAAGAGATAATGCATACATTTGTTCTAGCAAATACCACAAAACCTTCGCTCTAGCGAAAGGCAGCTCCGGGGTCAGCTCACAGGTAGCACCAGCTTGGCAGTGCGTTCTGGTCGTAAGCAAAAGCAAGCGTGTTAACAGGCCTTCACTTTCATGGCTCTGCCTCCTACTAAACATGTCAACTGTGCTGTCTTCAAATGAGAACTGTTTGGGGGTGATTTTTGCATTGTGAATTAACCTCGATTCTTTTTTGCAGGGATGGCTTTGAAGAGAAGTGCGTGATGAACAACTACTTTGGCATTGGCCTGGATGCCAAGATCACGCTCGAGTTCCACAACAAGCGGGAGGAGCATCCGGAGAAGTGCAGGTGAGTGACGACGACGCTCTCCTGCGCTCGTCTGCCCGCACGCCCCTTGGTGTAGGCTTGGGGTCGGGAATTTCACGTGTGCTTCTAAAAACAGACACAAGCTGGACAATGTAAGAGTATATGGGCTGTTTCTTTTTATGTTTTAGAAAATCTTTTTTTAAAAAAAGCCGCAAAAGCCACATTAAGGCGGTTTGTGCAGGCAGGCAGACCGAGTCGCGGCGTTTTGTCAAGGAGGCAGCTGGTTTTAGTCCGGTTTCTTCCAAAACAAACACAAGAATACCCATCCCGCATGGCGACTTCCACCCACTCCTCTAGATCGGGAGTTCGCCCAAAATGCCACTATTGCGACATGAAGTTACAGAGTTGAGTTGGTGTATACTGAACACTTCTGGAAACGTGTCTGTGGTCGATCTGCGATTGTTTACGAGACACACTGCACGCACTGGCACTGGTCAACTCATGTAGTGGCTACAACGTGCGTAGTGCTTCTAGGGAGTGTGCATGTTTTGTACCGGTGTGTAGTGTCTTGATCAAACAAACGACCGCAATGGCATTGCCTCTTCGGACAATTTATTGGGATTGGGTTATTCTACGCTTCGAAACAATGGGCAGTCATCAGCTCCCGGTGAATATATTCAAGGGCTCTGTGAACTTGCTTTTGAAGTACAGTAAACTTTCATTAGTTCGACCTTGGTTAATTCGACTTTTCGTTTAATTCGATCGTGTTCAAAAGTCCCGGCGAGCGCCCATACATTTCTATGGGAGGAAAAGTTCGATAGTTCAAACTCGGGAAAACTCCACATCGGATAATTCGTCCTGAGCGGATGCGCGCGGTCTTACTTTGCACGGCACCATGGCAGAAAAACCTTTAACGTATGGCGAAACACGGGCCCTTTGCTGCAAAACCAAACGGCTGCAAATATGCGTCTGCTCCTTTATGCCGTTGAGATGGACCGTAGCGAATGACACGAGCCAGCGCAACCAATTTGGCATGGAGTAGCGTGGAGAACATGGCACGTTGTCGGTCGCGGAGACAGCGAGCGCTATCAAAGCGCTTTCTGTAGCATCGCGTGCGGTCCATCTCGGGTGCCGGAAAGCGCGGGTTCTGTTTTTCATTTTTTTCTTTTGTTATTTTTCTTTGTCGCCGACAGTCTGGCCGCCCGGCACCAAAGTCGGCTCATAGAGCTTTCTCTGCTCGCGCTCGCAGAGCGCTTTTCTGTAGCATCGTGTGCGGTCCATCTTGCGCGCCGGAAAGCGCAGGTTCTTTTTAGTGGCGAAGCTCCTTAGGGTCTAGCCTTGTCCGTCCCTCCGTCCGTGCTCACATAAAAAGAAAAAATGTTTGCGCAGTCGACAGAATTCGAACCTGTGCTGGGAGACCCCAACAGATTTCTAGTCCATCGCCTTAAAGGGACACTGATACTCCCCAAAATTTTTTTATTATTTTTTGCCAGGTTCTTCATTATGGTGTCGGAGGACTACCCAATTAATATTTTGCAACAGAGTAGCGTATTTCTTTAATAAAGCCAAAAGACGCAACTGCTTGAAACCGAAACCAAAATTCGACGGAGGTCGGAGAAGTGGAGAGAAGAGAGTGAGCGGCAGAAATCACGTGGCTACACCCGACCGTGCGTTTTTTTTTCTCCTCTCCGTAGCAGACGACACGACATGCGGCGTGCGATTCTTTTGTAGTTATGTTTGTTCCGCTGGTTGTTCTGTACTCCAAGATGAGTTGTTTTGTACATTGAGGAGTTGGAGATGAGTAGTGAGTGCCCGTGGTGAATTTCCATGATCGGCTCCGAAAAGAATACACCCAAGATGTTGCGTGAAGAGCTGGCTCACATTTCCTGCGTCCGAAAAAAAGTGGCATTGTGCGACAGAGTTTCTGAAAGATCAACGGGATCGGGACCAATGGCTGGCTGCAATTCCTGTAGAACATATACGGGCACCTCGGAAAGCGGATGCTACCTGATTTATATGCTCCTCGCATTTTGTGGAAAGTGATTACATTGCGTTCGCAGGTGTCAAAACGGAAATCCCATACCATTTAATTCAGCGAAGTATCGTCCACAACATTTGTTTGTTTCTTCAGTGATGATTGTAAAAAAAAGGAAAAGATATGTAAACATCGAAAAATGTTTGAAAAAAAAAAAAAAAGTTTCACGGGGGATCGAACCCGGTTTTACCGCGTGTGAAGCGGACGTATTTCCGACTGAGCTACTGGGTCACCGCTTTTCTAGTGGATCTCTTTCCTTAGTAATAATTCAGCCGGTAAGCTGTAAGTTGGAAAGTTGGCTGTCGATTTTTCTCTAGCAAAAGCACTCCCGGGTCGAAGTCGGGAAGCACCACGCTTTGGAGACATTCGCACCTAGTAAAAAAATCGTACCCGTGCATATTCACCTTGAAGTAGACACGTCGTGCTTGACGTTTGCGCGAGCGATGTCTTCAGCCACGAGAAGGGAGCCACGGCTCGGCGACGTCTTCGTGCAAATCGGTTTGGTGGTCGGGCGTGTCGTACGGGATGAATACCAATTCTTTTGATCGGTCCCAAATTTTCTTTTAACGATAGGCAGAATTCGCCGGTACCGCGAACGACAGTTCTGAAATAGAGGTCCCACCCCCGTCGTCCGCTGCCATTGCCGTCCCCGCGAGTCCCACGATACGCGAAACGACGAACGCACAGAATGCTCCGGTTGTCTGTGGAACTTTTTTTTTTTCAATCAACGTATTTGCAGCTTTTTAGAAGCCACAAAAAATGGGTTTCATATTTTTTTTTATTTTTAACATTGACTGTGTGCCTTCAGTGACCCACGACTTTGATTAAATTTGGTGGTCGCATCGGTACCTTAGAAAACGGCCCGTGACCACGGAAAAGAGAGTGAGCAAGACTCGAACCGGCCAGTTCTTGATCGGCGGTTTTCGGGCGGAAAGAAACCGAATTTCGAGCCGCAAATTCTGTTCTGGGTCACGTACAACTAAAAACCTCGGCGAGCATAAATACCCTGTCAGTGTCCCTTTAACCACTCAGCCACGACTGCGGGACGAGTAGGGGGCTCTGAGATGTGGTAGTAACTCAAGAGCTGGGGTTTCTGTCATGGATGAAACGTTGCATGTAGTTGCTCAACGTCTATACAGGAGAGGGCGCTGCGGTCAAATGCGTAAATAATCACGTTAAACTTTGCATGCATTGGCTCAACGTTTATAGACGAGAGGGCACTGGCGTCAAATTCTCAAAAGCATATATATAATCACGTTCCATACCACACATTCTCTTTCTGACATGGACCATTGACTTAAGCAATGGAGATGCATTCCCACGGCTTCTAACGAATCCAAGCTGATCCGCTGGAAGAACCACTGGCTCTGCATTTCACCGGCCATAAAGCAGTAATAATGAAGTCGAAACGCAACCCGGAACTCAGCACTACCAAAAAAATCAGCACCATCAGCTCTACCTATGAACAATAAAATCAGTATCATCAGCACCATCAGAGCTTCACCCCAATGAACATCATTCACCACGTGAAAATGTTGTGATTTTTTTTTTTTTTGCATTGCGTCTATGAGAATTTAACCAAATGTTCTTACTTAGTTCGGCATATCTGAGAATTCGGCTTAAGCGAGTTTGCCTTAACAGGGGTCAACTGTATTCAGTTTTGTAGATGCTTTGTTTACTCTTCCTCTCTCGTTCGAGACATTCTTTTGTAACGTAGCAAAACCTGCCCATTCAGAACTACTTGTCTTCTGCCTTTTGTTTTACTTGTTCTCTGCCATGTATTCCGCCTAGTCGTGTGCCATAGAGATTGTTTCGCTGTTGAATTGACTCTTACTGGGGCTGGGCATCAAAAGACCACCCCCTCGTTACTCGCTGGTACTCAGCAGAGGATACATTTGTCGGCGGAATACGGCATGTTGTGACGCAAGCGCTGTTTATCCTTCCATTATGGGTTGAAATTCGCATTGTGCTCAGTTCATGGTATCCAGAAGCCTTTATGAGGTCCTTAGTGGGTACCACACTTGTGCAGAACTTGCCTTCGGAACCAACATGCCATACAATATATTTAAATTTTCCTCGAACAGACAAGCATCAACACCGTTTTGTGATGCAACACGTTGGCCACACTGTTTGTAACGGAATGAATTTCCACATTTAAAACAAGAAGATATACACCAATCTAGACTGCCTAAAGTCCATGTAAACTACAATGTTTCCTTGCTTGTGAGTTTTAGTTTTCTTCTTTTCAAGTGCAGGAAGTGCTTTGATAGAGAGGTTGTTTTGCTGGAAAAAATTAAGTCTCTTGCATTGCGCTAAAACGTCAACATCTGATTGTTCCTTCGTTTTCTTCTTACAGAACCAGTATGACCTTGTTTGAACTCGTACGGTCCGACAAAATTTTTTGTAGGACCACTGGGAATCTTTATTGGTCCAATAGACACCTCTATTGGACCTTTTGCTACGGGCCGACCTTTCTGTCTCCTTACACCCAGGTCCCGCACCAAGAACATGATGTGGTTTGGGGTGCTGGGTGGCAAAGAGCTCCTGCAGAGGACCTACAAGAACCTGGAGCAGCGGGTGCAGCTAGAGTGCGACGGGCACCGCATCGCACTGCCTTCCCTGCAGGGCATCGTGGTGCTCAACATTCCCAGGTACGACCCCAACCCTACCTCGGAGCAGAGGTCGGCATTTTAGGTCGCCCTCACTCACCCTCACCCTCACAGCCACACTCACCTAAGCCCCTCACTCACCCTCACCCTCACAGCTACACTCACCTTGAGCCCCTCACTCACCCTCACCCTCACAGTCACACTCACCTTCAGCCCTTCACTCACCCTCACTGAACCTCACGGCCCTCACGCACTCACCGCCCTCACGGCCCTCACGGCCCTCACCGCCCTCACAGCCCTCACGCCCCTCACTCACTCATGGCCCTCACGAAACTCACCGCCCTCACGCCACTCACCGCCCTCACGGCCCTCACCGCCCTCACGGCCCTCACGCACTCATAGCCCTCACGCCACTCACCGCCCTCACGGCCCTCACCGCCCTCACGGCCCTCACCACCCTCACGGCCCTCACGCCACTCACCGCCCTCACGGCCCTCACCGCCCTCACGGCCCTCATGCCACTCACCGCCCTCACGGCCCTCACCGCCCTCACGGCCCTCCGCCACTCACCGCCCTCACGCCACTCACCCGCGTCACCGCCCTCACGCCACTCGCTGCCCATTAACAATACTAATGCACCTTTCTGAAACAGTTTATTTCCAAAAAACGATCGATTTCAAACCAGAACTAAGTCTTTCGGTGTCATCATCACCGGCACGAGGTATCACGTGAACATTTTGCGTCCCTGATTGGATGCAGCCGCTTCAAACGTATTCGAATTGCTCCAAGTTGCTTGCTTATTTCGAGCCGGACCCGATCTCAGCAATTCGTGTCGATCTAGGGAAAGCTAGAGAACAACCCGTCATTAACACCAAAATTGCTGAGAAAGATGCTCGATCTGAAGGGGGCCTCACGCACTCACCGCCCTCACGCACTCATGGCCCCCACACCACCTCATTCACTCGCCGCCCTTACGGCCCTCACGGCCCTCACGCCTCTCATGCCACTCACTGCTCTCACGCACTCATGGCCCTCACACCCCTCACGCACTCACCACCCTCACACCACTCACGCGCTCATGGCCCTCACACCCCTCACCAGCCTCACACCACTCACGCGCTCATGGCCCTCACGCCACTCACCGCCCTCACGCCCCTCACGCACTCATGGCCCTCATACCCCTCACCGCCCTCATGGCCCTCACGGCCCTCACGGCCCTCACCGCCCTCACGACCCTCACCGCCCTCATGGCCCTCACGGCCCTCACCGCCCTCACCGCCCTCACCGCCCTCACGGCCCTCACCGCCCTCACCGCCCTCACAGCCCTCACGGCCCTCACTGCCCTCACTGCCCTCACAGCCCTCACGGCCCTCACTCACCCTCACACTCATGAATTTTCCTGGTTCAGAAACTCACTCACCCTCACCTCACCTGTGAGGATGAGGGTGAGTGAGGGTGAGTGAGGGCCCTCATGAGTGAGGTTTGCCGAGGTATGCCTCGGAGTGCCCGGGGCGTGTCTCTGACCGGCACGTCTACCGTTCGATCCTGCCCAAACATCAGAAGTGGTCCTGAGGTGGCAACAAATCACATCACACGAGCCGGCGTCTCACTTCATTGGTTGCTGGAATCCTGGCAGTTGGTTGTAGAAATGTTGGTGCAAACGGCAAGAGGGTGCAAGAGCCACTGTCGTCGCGGCGTCCCAACTTGTCTGTTTTGATTTCTGTCGACTGTCTGACCGCAGAGCGACTTACGGCAGAACAGGCGTCTGCTGCTACACCTCTGCTTACACCACTTTAGATGATGCGGTAAACGTGCCTTCGACGAAGCATTTCAGGCGCCCTACCCACGCGCATCCTCAAGTGGGGACGTCGCTAACTTTTGTCAAAGATGTTCGAAATGTTCGACAAACCTTCTGTCTTTTGGTGAAATTGGCGAAGGATCGACGGATGGATCTTAGTGGCGAAACCTTCTGTGCCGGGTGCTAGCTTGCACCAGCTAGCCTAGAAACATCTACACCCCTCCCCTTTGAATTTCATTCTAAATTCCATTCATCAATAATTTGTCTAACCCACCGATTTTGTGTATGACTTTTCGGCGGTTTCGCCATTTCGAGAGAAACAAATTCTACGTCAGTTTGTATTAAAATTTAGGGAATGCTTGCCGATGTTTGTGAAAAAAAAAGCAAACATACAATTGATTTAGTTAGTTTGTTAATGTGAAATAATGTAGTACCCAATAAGTACTGCACCTCTTCTCTGCCAGGTAGCTTTGGCTCGTTTTCAGATTCTATACGTCGAACTTCAGTCAAACTTTCGTCAAACTTTGCATTAAATCTGTGGAAAAAAAAAATTTAACTTTGTCTAGTTTGAATTACAGCGTCGGGGCTTATGACACCCCTAATCTCAAGTACAGTACACTCTCGGTAATTCGAAGCTCACAGGGACAGCAACATGCTTTGAATTAAGCGAACTTCGAATTAAAAAAGCACATATAAAACTGAGTTTATTTTATTCAGTACTCACTTAGGAGAAGAACTGGTCGATCTTAGATTGTTTTCGCTGACGCATCCGCGCCACCGTCACTCGGCTCTGCAAGTTACGTATGCATGGTAAGGCGTCTTCGGCATTCTCTTCGCCCGAGAAAAAACGTTCTACGACGCCCAATGCAGTTTCCGCATCAGCGGCATTCGGCGTGGGAATTGACGGCGACGAGAGTTCCTCGTCGTCAGAGTCCTCGTCACTTCCTTGCACCACCACACCAGGCCTTACCACTTTGATTATTTCGACGTCCGAAAGCGGACCAGAGACCTCGACGTGCTTGTCAACATCGACCGGAACATCTCCAAGGGCTTCCCTCAGTTCACTACCTGCGGGTACCTCTTCTGGCCCAACTTCGTCGGCGATATCTCCAGTCTCGCTGGCCTCGCTGACGGCGTCGACGGTGACGAACCCGCAGTGACGAACGAGCCAACACACTTTGGGATCTTCGTTGTCAAAACTCCCGCTCGCACCTTTCCGCGGTTCCGCCGAACGCAACCCAACCTTCTCGCCACCCATCTCCCTCTCTCCTCTCGAGGGGAGAGCGCAGAGTGGGAGAGCAGAGCCCAAAGCAAATAAGCAAACAGCCGCGCGCGCAAGGCTGCTTGCTTCCTCGCCGCCGAGCCGCAGCATGCCGTGGCGCCGTCGCACAATGCATCAGATTGCATCACCCTAGTGCGGTGACGCCAGTGACGTGGCCACGGGTCGTGGCGTTGCGTATTCCCGCTTGGCAGTTGGCATTTGATTTTTTCGCTCCCGGGGTTTGCGCACTTTATGTGCAGACAAAAAATCCTTCGAATTAACCAGCTCCCAACATTTCGCCTTCGAATTACCGCGTGTTTTTCCCCATAGCATTGTACATACGATTGCCGGGACTAGGCCCATGCTTCAAACTAACCAAAGATTTGAATTATGCGACTTTGAATTACCGAGAGTCGACTGTACTAACATTCTTGTAGGATCTTTTTTTAGTCAAGCTTGAGTCTTTGCTGCCTTGAGGGCCTTGCTGGCAAAGGTGCGTCACCAGTTTATGGGGAACAAACTCTATGATGTGCTTCCTTTTTGGACCCCTTCAAGAGTCCTTGAATGTGTTGTTTGCATCGAGGTTTGTTCTTGATGCAGTTCAGCCGGTGTATCCTTGACAAAGAAGTGTTTTAATGGAATTCGGAGAGTGCCTGCGTCTGACGAAGTAAATTAAATGACAAGGAGTCTGCTTGCTGGATTTGCAAAGCAAAAAGGTGAAGTGTGAATGAGCACACGCACCATTTTTTCAACTTTAGTAACATCCGTACGCCCTTTCATTGGTTGAAATCGTGGCGCACGTTTGTCTTGCATCTTTTCGTGCGGACGCATTGGTACTGCTCATGTTTGCAAAGAGTGCCGTGCAAAGTGACGATGCATGCCAGTAACCGATGCCACGTACGTGGTGCCACGTCGAGTTATTGTGTTGAGATTAAACACTAATTTTGCGCTTCCGCTTGCCTCGCAGTTACGGGGGAGGCTCCAACTTCTGGGGCGGAAACAAGGAAGATGACGTGAGTGGTCTCCCCGTTTCCTTTGCCGTCTCTGCCTTGTATCTCTTTGCTTTATACGTCTCTCGCCCTTGTTCCTGCAGGCCTTTTATGCACCCGCCATCGACGACAAGATCCTGGAAGTAGTTGCCGTCTTTGGCACTGTACAAATGGCCGCATCGCGAGTGATCAACCTACAGCACCATCGCATCGCCCAGGTGACTGCACGTTTCTCGTTGGCTACAGTTGTTCGGAGTGTGAAAACGGCAGGAAAAGTTATTTTAGTTGCCCACCTTTAGCGCGTCCTTCCTGTCTTTGACAGAGCATGGCAGAAAGCAGCGAGCGTGTTCTGGACGCTGGGCTTTCGAAAGACACACTGTTCTCGCCTTGTCAGCTACTGCAGAAAGCAATGTCAGCATCGCACAGAAACCCTTCGTTGCTCTCTCTAAAAGGGAAAAATTTCAAACGACCGCACAAAATGTGCAGTAGGTGCTGCATTGCAGAAAGGCCCTCTCGAGTACGGATGTCGGGGTCCTGCGTCCTTCGTAGCTCTCGTGTCATTGCGGACCTCTGCCTGCTCTGTTCAGCGCTGAGGGTATGTGGATGTAGCGGGAACGATTGGGAGGTGGAGAGCGCTCTCTCCGTGATCACGTAGTTCTTTCAGAACAGTTATTAGACATACCTTGAATGGACAGGTAAAACCGTTTCACTTAACATTCTTGCAAAAACTATATCGTCGAAATCTACAGCACAATCGAGAAGTCGCAAGCAGGTTTCACCAACGGGCTTTTGAATGTCCTAAAACTGTTTTTGTTCTTTGAGAGACCAGATTTAGATTGAAAGTGGTACCGAAGTTTCGCTCACTCCCTGTCAAATGGGTATTTGTTATATTCTTAATGAGCATCGAGCATCTTGGTAAAGTATACTAGATAAGAGCTAGAAAGAATAAAACGTATGCACCTTTCCAAAAATACACTCCTAGGCCGCCGCCATGTTGCTGATGCTGATGCGGCTGGTGCGACTCTCGCACCCTCTATCAGCTAGAAATTTTCTGCCGCTCTCTGGGACTGTGAAGACCCGCTCAGCGCGGTTCTCTACGTACTTTTTTTGCGGTTTTGCATTCAACGTTTTCTCGCCTCTCTTGAAAGTTTCCACTTAATTTTTTTTATGTGTGCTGCGTACCCTGTTTGTGTTATTTTTAGGGGTGTGCGAATACTAGAATATACGAATTCGAATTGAATAGAAAGTTCCTGAATAATTCGATTCGCGAATCGAATTCCTAGTATTCGGTTACTCGAATATTCAATATATTCGGCCAAAGACGCGCGGTGGGCGCGGAGCAAACAAAAAAGCAGTTTTTTCTCCCGATGTAAGCGCCGTGATGTTAGACAGACCATGCGAGAAACAGCTCTTGGTCCTACCCTTCCACAAAAATCTAACGCACAGGTTAGAAAACAGAAAGGTAACGAACGCCACAAACTTTATAGCACGAAGATTTACTCACGATCATGACACAATCTACCCTTGAATCACAACCGAAACATCCCAGCTTGCGCCGCTTCCAGAGAGGAATTGTTGGGAAGCCGGAATTCCGCGCCAAGCCTAATTCTTTTCACGAGTAAAACCCCTCGTTTCAAATTGAAGCGCCGATGTAAAACACACTTGCCGCACTCGCAGAAATCGGCTACTGCACGATCACAGAAAGAAAACCAACGTTACCACGCCGGCAAAACCAACCGAGTTATCGTCGTCGTTCTTTTGGAACCGCAAATTCTGATTCCGAATCAGAACGACAACTCGGTTGGTTTCGCCGGCATGGTAACGTTGGTTTTCTTTCTGTGATCGTGCAGTAGCCGATTTCTGCGAGTGCGGCAAGTGTGTTTTACATCGGCGCTTCAATTTGAAACGAGGGGCTTCACTCGTGAAAAGAATGAGGCTTGATGCAAAAGAAACGGAACGGAAAAAAAGTGTGCCTAGATTTGGGAGGGTTTCCAACAGCTCGATAGCCGCGTTTGAATTACGAACTGCGAGAAGGTGCTGAAAAGACGAAAGCGTCGGTCGGGTTCGGGCAGGCAGGGCAGGCGTCATCGCTCTTCTGTTTGTTCGCCTTCTTTCCATGCGACAACACAACACATGTGCATTCACGATCAATCTGCGATGGAGCCGTCTCTGTGGTTTCAGTTCGGTTGCTCCCTCTTTTAAATCAAGGCTCTCTAAGACAGGATAGATAAACAGAAAAATTTGGGAAAAATGGATGCGTAGCGGCAGTTGGACGGTGACTTGCGCCACCTAACCGCGTTTTTTTTTTCTTACTTTAGATTATATTGTTTAAGCCAGTTTACCTCGTTGATGTTTGCTCAGATTTAACACCTGTCTATTTATTTATGTGAAATCAAATCCCAGGTGCCATTTTTTTCCCTTAAAATGGAGACCAACTATCGCAAAATGCCCCTTTTCTGAGATATACAAACATTTTTAAAAAAAGTTGCGGTGTTAGGTTGTGTTTTTAAAAAGAAAAAAAAGCATGCGTGGCTGTAACTTTTTTTTTTTTTTTTGTGACGTTTAGGGTAGATAGATTATGTTTGCACCATAAAATTGGATCTTTAGTGCCCAACGTTCAACAGCAACTGTTTTTTTTTTTTTTTCACTGGAACTTTTTTACATTTTGGCTTTTGTTTTGTACAAGACGTATATTCTGCACCAGGCGCATACTCTGCACATATAATAATCGCATTCGCAGCACACTTTGAAAAATTCCTACGAATAAAATCACTATTTGATATTCGATTCGATATTCGTTTTTTTTTTTCTTGATTCGATTCGGTATTCGATTCGAAAGCTACTATTCGGTATTCGCACACCCCTAGTTATTTTCCATTGTGAGAAATAAGGCTGGTAAGTGCCTGCCATTCAAGCTTTTCTGCTCGACATTCACGGGAAACGAAGGAAGTGAAGGACGTCGAACGACCCTCGACGCGATTTTGCGAACATTGTTCTCCCCCCTCCCAAAGATAATCTGCGTAGAATCCTCAGTCATCTCCACAAATAGTTGTCCAGGTTGGGGTGAGAAACGGGTCAGTCGCATTTGTTTCTTTGCCTTGGTGCGGTTGTGAAAAAAGGAAGCTCTCCCCAAAACGTGCCCCAAAACGAAGTCATCTCGGATTCCGTCCGATCGTCAAGATGTGACTGTCGTCGACTGTGACTGTGTTATTTGAGATCTTTCTCAAATAAATTCTTTTCGGATAACGCTGCATCGTGTGGTACGTACGATATATTGTTAGAATGTTAACACTTCCTCAATTGTATGTCTGTGTCCTGTCCATCGGTAGACACATTATTTGTGAGCTTGAAGAATGCATGCCTTTCGGCCCTCTTCTGTTGCAATTTATTTTTGACTGCAAAGAGCTCTGTTGTTCCACATGCGGCGAATCCCGCTGCACCATCAAAACTTATTGTAAGAAAACAAATAACTAGAACTATACATTCCAGTCGCATTCGTTCTGTCGCGCGCGTACCCAACAAAAATAGTTAACAGTTTTTTGCTTTTTTTTGTGTTTTTTTTTTCAAATGTGGCACAATGCTTTCTCAATGTCCTCGGGAAAATACATACACCATGAAGCACAAAATATAGCAGGAAAAGACGAGAATTTAGCCGCCAGCAGCATTTGAAACTGCACCTACGCAGGCTGCGCCTGTCGAAATCACAGTCCACTCGGTTAGGGTTAGGAGGGACGCCGGTGAGAGTCTAGCCTCAAACTCAGTGACTGGGCTTGAAAACGGTTTGTTGCCTCTGGGGTCGAGTGTTTTTTGAAAGGTGTATAGACTCGAGAGGACAAAACACAGATGACTACATTCTTTCAATTTGCAACAAAGTTTATTCCATATGGAGTGTGATCGCCCGTTCCTCTGCTCATTCTTAAGGAAAGAGGGAAAAGGCAGCGGCAGAGGAAGGAAGTCAGAAGGAAGAATGGGTGGGAGAGGCACAGGGGTGCATTGATTCGTTGGGGACGGGCCGCTCACCAAGGTCGTCTAGTGCACCCTGGACAGCTCCATGCGAAGATAATCCATCTCTCTATCAGAGAGGGCTAGCAAGGGGGAAGAGACATTGACACCAGAGTATTTTTTATTGCAAATGATTCAATTACTTCCCTCTCGAATGTCTGAGGATGGCGTTGAGCATGCACATTTTTGTTTTAACCTAGGCGCACATCCTCTGCATGTGCAGCGACGTGCTGCTATCGGGTGCACCAAATCCTTGCTGGGGTTGGCGACCTCCTTGAAGTGCTCTCTCAGGTGGTCATTTAGGCACTGGCCCGTTTACCCGATATATTCTCCTCCGCAAGAGAAAGGAATGGAATAGATTCCCTCTCTCCGGCAGGGAACAAACTGCTTTTCATGTTTCTTGAGGCAGGCGATTGCATTCGGAATGAGCTGTGTTGAAAAAGTGTACTTACCTGTGTTTTGTCCTCTCTATGGTTTATTCCTTCTGTTATCTGGTATTTGTTGTTCCTTGAAAGATTGGATTTGGACTGGATTGGATTGGAAGTGGTACCATAGGGTGGCTTACTTCCTGTCAAACTGCTGTTTGTGGTTCCTTGAAAGACTGGATTTGGATTGGATCGCAGTGGAAGTGGTACTGAAGGGTGGCTCGTATTCTGTCGGCGTGCAGTGCCGGTCAGTGCGCATCACCATCACGGGCGACGAGGGGGTCCCGGTGCAAGTGGATGGGGAGGCCTGGGTCCAGCCGCCAGGGTACATCTGCATCGTACACAAGAACCGCGCCCAAACCCTCTGCCGCAACAGGGTATGGCCCTCTGCGGACGCCGCTCTCTCAACCACAGCTCACTCTGTGACTCTGGTAGCAGTCGGCCATACGGCCCAAGGTCGTAGTAAACGTTACTGGAACAACTCATTTGGGAGACTGCCATAAGCCTTTTCGGAGAACTGGTTCCGACCCGTACTTCATATATATGCGATGGTAGCGCTGCCGTTTCTGCCCCAACGGCCACTCCGGAAACTACTCATACCTGAATGGAGAGGAACAAAAAGCAAAAAAAAGTCTTACCTCTGTCTGTGAAGTGAACTTTTGCTGATTCCCTAAGTCTTAAAAGTCTTAAAACAAGTTATGTACCATCAACTAACCGCAAAGGAACTAATGAAACAGATTGACCGCCAAGAGGCGGTGCTGCGATTGTATCTGGGTTTCAGTGGCTTGGTCCTGGTGAGTGTGAGGAATCCGTGTTTCGAGGGCTTGTTTCTCAGCTGAGTTGCTCTTGCGACATTGGTTGTAGCATTCCGTGATGCCTACACTACTGCGAGCAAGTTCGTCTGCTCCTTGCGCAGGAGTGTAGCGACGTCACGGCACCGAGCTTTGATTGGAAGATATAGAGGGCTGTCAAATGCGGTGGCGTCTGCTGGTCATAGCAATGGCTCCCTTGCCTTTTTTTTGGCCGTCGCCCTCCACTCTTTTATTTTAGCAAAGCAAATGCTGGAGAAAAGGCGAGTGGACTCTCCTCCTCTCTTGCCTCCTCTCCAGCATTTGCTCTGCTCAAGCACAAAAAGTGGGTGGCTCTGTGAGAGGAGCGTGTCCTGCTTTTTCCTGCAACAGACTATAGCACCATGCACGCTGCAACAAACAAAGAACTTGCAGCCAATACGCCGTTTACTACCCACCAAAGGAAATGGCTTGTGTGAGGACGAAGTTTCCTCGCACGCATGATTTTAGTTGACCTGCTCGCCGTATAGATTAATGACTCTTACCGCTCATGTAGCAAAGCAATGGCTTTAACTAAAAATTAAATAAAACATAATGCACTGATCTGAGAGTGCTAAATTAACACAAAGTTCGCACCGAGTGGATGACTCTAATGGTACAGGGCATTCCCGAGTAAAAAGAAACATGTTTTTCTTCCCGGCTAAATAAACTATACATCGCAGAAAGCTCAAACTTTTTGAGAATGTGACGCTAGCGGTTGGGATAGAATGGAAAAGTTTGAGAACATTAGGTTACCTGGTTCGAAAGATTATTTAGAAAAACTACATTTCTTTATGAGCTGATGTCCACCTCAGCCTAATATGATCAAAACAACTGACATTGTGGATGTATGTGGGGTTTATATCGCTGAAAAACAACTGTCATCACGTGTGCAAAGCGTCTACTTTCAAAAGTTTCAATAGGCTCAACAAAACAAAACCAATGCGACGTTTATTGTTCCCCAAAAACAGAACTAATAGCAACACCCCCTGCAATGCATGCCGCTTTGTGACTAGGGTGGCAGTTTCAAACCGTAATTGCCGCCGTACAGGTACGGCGACGACCGTTGAAGGGTCAAGAAAGGTCAATCTCTGCCGAATTTTGCCGAGTGTTTAAACATTTGCCGAACCAGTCGAGCCTTCGGGTTCAACAAAAGTTTGCGACGTTCCTACTCGGGACGTTAGATCGACGACCTTTGGTTGCATGCGACATCGATGCAGTGCGAGTCGAGCATCAAGCTCTGGCAGGAGCGCCCGCGCCACTTCACCCCCGGGAAGCATCACCATCACCACCAGCACAGTCACCAGCACAGGGGCTCCCTCACCGAGGAAGAAGCACAGCAGCTGACGGGATTTGTCGAGCTGGCCACTTCCCTCGTCCGCACGTCAGTGGACGCCTCATTTTTATCTAAAGCGACTTTGGGTGGTGTGGAATCGAGAATCGCTTGAGCCCACGACATAGCAGTTAATCACTTTTCAGTCTCCGGTAGAGGCACTAAATGAGCTTCAGAGTAACAAGACTTCAGCCACCCTGTTGCCAGTTGTCTGTAGCTTTATGTCTAAAATATCAGGAAGCAGTTATCCATTCTCCGGAAATATATGTTAAGGGAGGACACTATTTGAGAAGGCAATCTTTTTAACCGTCAGTCGTATATGTATGAATTTCGCAGGGCATATTCATAATTTAGAAAGAGCTAGGATGACGTGCAAAGTTTTAAGTCTACAAGTTTATCCTTCGAAGAGTTACATAAAAGTGCATTGAATAAACACTCTGCCTTCGAGAAAATCATAGTTTATAGAAGGTAATAATATTGGCCAGTTTTTTTTTGTTTTTTTTTATCAAAATATGCAGTTTAACACCTGGTCACATGGCTACAGGAAGAAATTACTGCAAGAATTATGTTATTTTCAATCAAAATTGAACATGTTAGAAAAGCTTTAATTTCTTTGCATGCAGGCTGAAGAGCTTTTCATAACAAAGGGCCATGAAAATACAGAAACTAAGCTAGCTCACAGCTACATTCCTTACAAAAATTTTAGTACAGAAACCTCAAAAACTGGCTCCACACATGTTTCCCTGAACTGAGATTTGATGCCAAGAATGATACGGAGAGAAACACATCCTTCAGAAAGTTGTTCTTTAGACGGTGCCTGCATGCGGGAAATAATTTATTTTAAAAAATGCTTTACAGGAGTTAAACTTCTTGACAGCATCCATCAGAATAAATTAAAGCCCTTACCACTTACCAGAGGTAAGAGGTAAGAACTACCGTCAGTTGCACTCGCTCCATATTTTGGCAACAAAATGGCGACCCTTGCGGGGCAACTGGGGAATGGAGTGGGGATACCCTAGGCGTGACTCATTGAGGGGGTCTGGTCTCCAGGTGGGGCTTTACAGACATATGAATGCTTGGCTGAAACTAATTCTTTCGGGCATTTAGATAAAAGGTGATTGTATGCGAGTCAAGAGTGTAACGCTCATTATTTCCATACTGGCAGGGGTTGGGGGGCCAGTAAACTTTAACATTAAGTGTTCATGAATCCCAAAGGATTTTGTGCAAGGAGCACCAACATGAGCTCACTCCGGTTCGTTCTGCACCTATGCTTGCACCCTTTCCGTGTTATCAGCTGTGCACCTCTCAAGGAGACGAGTGGCATTTTCGAAAATTGGAAGAAAGCTAATTTTTGTTCCTCTTGGTCAGTGAAGTATATTTGGGATGGGCCCCAACCATGCAAGACATTAAAAACAAAGTTGAAACAAAGCCAATTGCAGGCTTTGTTTCGACTCGTAGCCTTTTAAAGGGCAACTCCACTCAAAAAGTCGAACCTATCGAAATGACTGATATCGCTTTAGGGGGGCAAAATACGGTCATACCCAAAATATCACGTCAAACCGGCACTGCATTACCGATTAAAACCAATATTAAAAATGTTCTTCCGGCTCGGTTAGCGGCCCGAAAGCAGGTGAGCAACGCTGGCACCGGGTGAGCAAGTGAAGCAACACTGGGCAATGACGTAGGTTTAGTCCTACGCTCTCGTACGGACGCCGCGGACGCTTCGTTTCCCGTGGCACTCTGCTATTCTGCTGACGGCAAGAGCTGCTTACCACGTTATCCTGTGTTCTCCTATTTTTATTAGCGTCCAGGCAGTTAATTTAACTCCAGCATTGCTTTCGCGACAGCGTGGAAGAGAGCGAAGCGGTGCTGCTCGCTCACGCGCATGTCGTGGAGACGGAGAGACTCGCTGGACTCGCGTTGGGCAATGTCGAGCACGACTTGTAGTGCTGTGCGTTGCACCAACAATCCGGTGCGCAACCCGGTCATGCGGTTCCACAAGTTCCCAAGAGACCGGAAGAGGCACAAGGTGTGGGTCGGTGCCGTTCGCCGGATAGACTGGGAAAGACCGTCGACTCCAAGCTCCAACGCGAAGCTCTGCTCCCAGCACTTTACGTCAGACACCTACACACGGTATCTGCGGCTGCTGACTGTTGCGTGTTTCTCCACGAAACACGCGTCTTTGAAGAACGATGCGGTGCCGTCGCTGTTCGCGTACCGTCCGCCGGCTGCTCCAGCACGACTGGCCGGACGCAGCAGGTCACGGCTGATCTAACTAGCGTACACATAAAGGCACCTTAGCTTAGCAACTTAGACCGCTTGTGGATACATATGTCCCTACATCTCCCATTATTCCTTTTTCTCTCGGTCCGCGAGCAAGACCCCGCAGGGGGCACCTGTGAAAGCAGGTGTTTGGAGAGTGGCGTCTCCACAGACCCCGAGCCATGCGGGTTCGCCCGCCCACGTATGGCTGTGCGTGGCTTTCCCGTGTCCGGGGAAAAGGGCATCCTGGTGGCTGAGCCGAACCCGGGGTAGGTTTGGACCCTTCGGGGCCCCCCGGGTGATGCAATACACCACTTCCGCCCCTGCTTCTCGTAGACGGGAGTCCTGGTAAGGCCCGGCCAGGATGATTCAGTCTAGTCGCCACTTCTACTATCCCCTCTCTACTTTCACCCTTGTCTTCTCCTCCTTTTCACTCTTCTCATTTCTCTTCTTTCCTTTTCAACTCCTTTGGCGGCAAGGGCTAACCTTGGGTGGCGACAGACACCTTGTCCAAAACCACTCTTGGTTATAGAGACTGGGCAGCACTAATAGCGTAACGTCTTCAGCCAAGCCATTCTTGTTATGGAGCGTTCTATTCCCTTGTTGGGCTCGGTGGTGGGCGGTGCACCACAGTTTCCGAAAACCCTCCCCCTTCATATGGGTTCCAAGCTTAAACCTTCTGATCGGGCCCCCAAAAGGGTCCACACCGATGCATATCTACCACCTTTGGACAAGAACAACACTGACTACGTCACTAAGTTTTTCATTATACATTCCGAAGTTGAGACGAAACCGATGTCGAAGCTCTCCCCTTTCCTTGTGGCTAAGGTCTTAAAAGACTTGGTAGGGGAAAAGTTTAATGCAAAAAAGACTTTTTCTGGAGACCTTTTGGTAGAAGTATTTGAGAAAAATCGGGCAGCAGCGTTGCTCTGCCTCAACCATATCCTTGACACGAAAGTAAGCGTCTCTGCACACCGTACGCTCAACACCATTCGTGGTGTTATATCTGAGGATGATCTGATGGAGAGTCAGGAGGAAGAGATTCTTGAAGGCATGCGCAGCCAGGGTGTTGTTGCTGTAAAGCGCATCACCATCCGTAGGGATGACAAAGAACTTCCTACGCGACACTTGGTCCTTACCTTTGAGCTCAACAGCCTGCCTTCTTCCGTGAAAGCAAGGTACTTGAATTGTAGGGTCCGGCCTTACATACCTAACCCTGTCCGTTGTTTCCGTTGTCAGCGCTTTGGGCACGGCTCGCGGTCATGCTGTGGCCGTGAGACATGTGCCAGGTGTGGTAGCTCCGAGCACAACGCTGACGACTGTCATGAAGACATGAAATGTGTAAATTGTAAAGGCAAGCACCCTGCGTATTCTAGGTCATGTGAACATTTCAAAAGAGAAAAGGAAATTCTGACGCTGAAGGTGAAGGAAAACATCTCTTATCCCGAAGCAAAACGTCGCCTCTTGGGTTTTCAGAGAGGCTCTTTTGCCGAGGTGGTGCGCCGGGGACCTGCACCACCTATGGCGTCTATGGGAACGCAAGTGTCTTATGGGGACCTTGCTCAACCACTTAAGTCCTCTGGTCCCAAACTAAAGGTGCAACTCCCAGGGCGCGCTATCTCAGCTGCCCGGGCAGGTGCCCTCCCCAGCCGTGCGAAAGGTTCGGATTTATTATCCGAGCAGACGGAGACCACCCCGTCGCAGAAGAAAGGCACCTCTGGAGCAGTGCACACTGCTCTACCTCGAGATGACAGGGTGGATGCCGGTCCGTCGGGATCCACCCGAGCACAGGGGTCTGCGTTCCCTGCACAGGGTTCTGCACCCCCTGCTTCTCCGTTCCAGCCACCACGAGGTCGGGGACTTGGTCCCTCTGCCCCTGGTGGATCTCGGAAACCGGGGGAGCCGTCGAGGTTACAGGCCTCCAAGGAGGAGCCCCTTTTGGCTCCAGCTGAGCCAATGGACGAGAGTGGGTCAAGGTCCGACGAGGACAGACCCCACTCGAGCTCCGAATCTCTACTTCCGGCCTCCGGTGGCACCACGGGCAGGCCGAATGACACCTCCAAAAAGAAAAATGCTCCGCGTGTAAAGATAGATTTTAAGTCGTAAAAAAATTTTTTTTACTCTTGAGTTAATTTTAATTTTATTTTTTATTGTAAATGTTACAATGGTCCACAATTTTAGCATTATGAAAGTGGAATTGTCGCGGCCTTTTTCGTAACATTGATGACGTACATTTTTTTCTTGATGAGCTCCGTCCTGTGGCCTTATGCCTACAGGAGACTTATCTGAGTGACACCCACACAAAAGTGTTACGTCGTCATCAGATTTTCCGAAAGGACCGCATTTCATCAAACCCTTCGGGTGGTGTAGCAGTGGTAGTGCAGAGTGGAGTTGCCTGTGCTCCAGTCCCTCTAAAGACTCCCCTTGAGGCGGTTGCAGTTCGAATTCTTCTGGACCGCCTCATTACCCTTGTTTCACTCTACTTGCCTCCCAACACTCCGCTGCATTTGCAAGAACTTCAGGGACTCGTCGACCAGCTACCCGAGCCCTTTTTAATTCTTGGCGATTTTAATTCCCACCACCCCTTGTGGGGTAGTCCTCGACAGGACTCTCGTGGTGGAGTCATTGAGCGACTTTTATTATCATCCGGGTTATGTCTTTTAAACCAAAAAGAAGCAACGTTTTTTAGTGCTGCCCGTAACACTTTTACAGCTATTGATTTGTCCCTGTCATCACCATCGTTACTCCCATGTTTTTCATGGAAGGTTTTAAACAACCCTTTTGGCAGCGATCATTTTCCCATTATTTTAGAAAGCGTTAAACCAACTCCATTGATTCCTACTCGCCTTCCCAGGTGAAAGTTAGAGAATGCCGATTGGTCTATTTTTGAATTAGAGGCTGTGATTGATCCATCTTTGCTTCGTACTATGAGCCCCGACAATGCGACAGTTTATGTCACTGAATGTATAATTAGTGCAGCTTCGAATTCTATTCCTCAAACATCTGGACATCTTCCTAAGAGATGCAAACCGTGGTGGACTAAGGAGTGCACAACCACTCGCAAGGACCAGAATAAAGCCTGGGGAGTCTTTCGTCGGTACCCCACCAATCAAAACCTAATTGCATTCAAGAAAAGTAGGGCTAAGGCGAATTGGACACGAAAACAGGCTAAAAGGGTCTCATGGACCAAATATGCCTCTTCTATAAATAGCCTTGTTCCAGCGAAGGAAGTGTGGGACCGCCTGCGAAAAGTCCGAGGCGACTATCAACCTTTCCGAATCCCTCTTTTTCCCTTGCCTGCCGTATCTCTCAAAGATCAGGCAAATGTTCTTGGTATGCACTTCCAACATATATCTAGTTCTTCCCACTTTAGTGTAAAGTTTCAAAAGTTTCAGTCTACTGCTGAAAAGCAATCAATCTCGATGTCGGGATATGACCGGGCAGCTTACAATAGACCGTTCAGTATGTGCGAACTGGAAGTGGCGCTGGGTGTAAAAAAGCAGTCTGCACCAGGCCCAGACAGGATTCATTACGAAATGCTGAGGCACTTGTCCTTAACATAATTAAGTCATTTGCTTATGTTTTTTAATCATCTATGGAAAGTAGCTGCTTTCCCTCGATGCTGGAAAAGCTCCCACATCATTCCTCTTCTGAAGCCTGGTAAAGACCCCTCTCTTCCAGCGAGTTACCGCCCCATTGCGCTCACTAGTTGTCTTGGGAAGACTTATGAAAGGCTCATCAACCGGCGTCTGGTGTATTTTCTGGAGGAAGAAAATATTTTGGACATTAATCAGTGTGGATTTCGGGAGGGACGATCAGCCACAGACCATTTGGTTCGTTTGGAGACTTTTATCCGTGAGGCATTTGTACATCGGCAGCATTGTGTCTCGGTATTCTTCGACCTGCAAAAGGCCTATGATACCACATGGAGGTATGGAATTCTTCGGGATCTACACAACTATGGGGTACGAGGCCGCATGCTCCAGTGTATACAGAATTTTTTAAGCGACCGGACTTTTCAGGTCCGCTTGGGTTCTACACTGTCCGATGTGTTCCCCCAGGAAAATGGAGTTCCTCAGGGAGGAGTTTTAAGTGTTACTCTGTTTGCTGTAAAAATTAACAGTCTTGCAAGTGTGATTCCACCGTCTGTGTTTTACTCATTGTATGTGGATGATGTGCAGATCTCCGTTTCTTCTTGCAACCTCTCTAGCTGTGAACGACAACTACAACTTACAGTCAATAGGATGAGCAAATGGGCAGATGAAAACGGTTTCACTTTTTCTACCGAAAAAACTGTCTGCGTTCCCTTTTCGCTTCGCCGGGGATTGTCCCTTGATCCTTCTTTGCATTTAAACCACATTGACATACCTGTTCGCCAGGAACACAAATTTCTGGGCATAATCCTTGACAAGAAGCTCACTTTTGTACCTCATTTGAAAGAATTGAAGCGCAAATGCTTAAAATCATCAAACATTCTCAAGGTGTTGGCCCACAACTCGTGGGGGTCCGACAGGCGCTGCCTCCTGCGACTCTACAATTCCTTAGTTCGGTCTCGCCTCGACTATGGTGCAATTGTGTATGAATCTGCACGTCCATCTACACTAAAGATGCTGGATCCGGTTCATCACCTGGGGCTCCGACTGGCTACAGGTTCTTTTCGCACATCACCTGTGTTGAGTTTATATGCAGAAACCTTTCAGATGTCTCTCGAGAAGCGTAGACAGTACCTTAGCCTTTCTTATGCTTGCAGGGTCTATTCTGACCCGCAACATCCATCCTACACAAGCATCCATACCTGTCGATTCTCTCAACTTTTTGAAAACAAGCCACGTATCGTGCGTCCTATTAACTTCCGCATTCAAAGCCTTTGTGCCTCCCTCCAGTTTCCACTGAATGATGCTGTCATACTAAAGCACAAAGAAAAAGTTTCTCCGTGGGACGAATTGCCGATTTTCTGCGACTGGTCGCTCACAAAGTATGATAAACGGGCTATTTCCCCTCAAGTCCTGCAGCAGGAGTTTCAGTCGATGCAGGAGACATATAGAGATTATACTGAATTCTTTACTGATATGGGTCGAAATCTTCATCTTTTGTTGGTTGTGCCGTATATTCTAGTTCCTTTGAGAAAGCTTTACGAATGGATGGTACGGCAAGCATTTTCTCTGCAGAGCTTTATGGTGTCTCTCTAGCCATTGAACATATCATGAGTAACAAAATATTAAAGGCTATCCTTTTTGTCGATTCACAAAGCGTGATACAGGCTGTCTCTTCTAGACTTCCCACAAAGAATCTTCTTGTACTACATATACGGTCCAAAATAAACCGGGCTCTCAAACTCGGACACACCATAATATTCTGCTGGGTGCCCAGTCATGTTGGAATTCCAGGGAATGAGCAAGCAGATAAACTGGCTGCAGGTGCAAAGGACTCGGCAACATCTCTTGGGTTACCCTATCAGGACCTTAGGCCCCTTTGGAAAAAATCACTTTTGAAGGCATGGCAGTCGGAGTGGGACGCGGAGAGTAACAATAAACTTCATGTCATTAAGCCCATCTTGGCTCTGTGGGAGAGCTCATTCCTTAAGGAACGTCGACTGGAGGTTCTATTATGCCGCCTGAGGATTGGCCATTCACGTCTGACTCATCTACATCTTCTTTGTGGCGAAGACGAAAAGCTCTGTGCTCATTGTGGAGAAGTACTGACAGTTTTGCACATTTTATGGCATTGTAGATTTCATCACCAACATCGCCGACAAAGTTTTCCTGAACTTTTTAGAGGTCACCTTCCATTTCATCCTATGTTTTTGCTTGGTGATCATCCTTTAGTGCCACTTAACCGTGTTATTGACTATCTTAAAAAGACCGGATATATACATCAGCTGTAACTTTTACCATGAAAACTTTAATATCTCTTTCCTAGTATAGCCGTTTTAAGTAATTTTGTCTGGCGCAATATAGCCAAAGTCGCTCTTGCGCCATTAAACCCCAATCATCATCATCATCATCCGCGAGCAAGAAGCAAATACAGTCACGCTGCGCCGGCACTGACCGCGTCATATTTATAGCAGTTTGATTCCCTTTTTGGCCGGCAAATTTATAAATGCACACTAAAACTTACTACATTTGGTGCATATTAACAAATTGAAGCGGTAAAAAAGAAAATGTGCAACTTACCTTCTATTTTGAAACTCCACGTGCGACTGAGCCGACATTGTCGGTGCGTCGGCTCGGGAGCACGGGACCAAAACTAGGTCATGCCGACGACGCGCCACTAGTATCAATGTTGCCGGGCTGCTTCGGTCGGTAGTTTCGGTTTCGCCGTGCCGCCGTAACGATACTTGGATGCGCGATATCTACAAATCTATACACACTACCAAAAAACAAATTATATCTCGTGATTCAGGGTCGCCGACTTCGACTAGATAGATCATAACCCAAAAATTGTAAAAATGTAGTGGAGTTGCCCTTTAACGAGAGGGAAATACACTTTTTCAACGGAACCACTTCCGTAAGTCAGTCATAGCTTGAAGAACTAACTGTATAGTCAACAAACATATGTATTCTACACACAAAAAAAGCTGCGAGTGTGATCATAATTACTTCAAAAATCAAAGGGTGTTGGACTTTAACGGGAGTCGGCCTGGCCGTGCATTCGCCATAAAGGCTGTGAACGCCCCATCTTTTTCTTCTTGACAGGATCAAGGTGGCGTCGACCTCTCACCCTGTCGTTGAGCACGAACTGTTCCTGGCCGCCTCGCAGGCGGGATCGGCCGTAGATCGGCTCTTCCCAGGTGGACGCATGGCTGCTGGGGTGAGCCTCCTTTCTGTCGCCGCCGCTTTCACGACAATTTAAGCGTCTCTCGATCGCATCCGATGAACTCGGAGAAACACGGAATGTGTTAGGAACGAGCTACACACATGCTGCGTGCAGTGGAGACCGGTTATAACGAAGTCAGTTGTAGCGAAATAGTGGCTACAGCGAAGCAACCACGATTTCCCATTCCCATTTGCACTTCGTTATAACCGAAGTCGGTTATAACGAAATAGCAGATTTCCGATATCCTTTGACTTCGTTATAACCGGTTTCGACAGTACTGCATGTATGACTTTGACCCATAACGTGTCGCTTTTCTCGTGAAACGCAGCCCTCTAACACATTCTGCGTTAAAAGACTGCACAGTGAATGAAAACTGTAGCCAGAAACAAGTTAAGAATCTGCCAGGAGCTCCTCGCACACCCTCATTACCACCAGCTCTATTCTTCCACCGTAATGCTCGGTAGCTATCTGCGTAATGCAGTTAGCTGCCGAGTCTATTGCGTATTCATACGTAGCGATGATGTTGTGTACCTTGTCCTGTCTACCGCCCATCCTAGTTAATCTGCGAAGCGATTTGATGCCACGGCTGGTGTGTGGTAGTGTTTATTTTGCATGTTCTTAAAATCATATTTAAGCGTCTACTTTTTTTGCGGTTTCCACGTCTCTTGGGGTTTGGGCAAGCCAGCAGGCACGGAGAAAGTAAATAAATATCAGTGCGTCATATTTTAACCGGACGACACGGAAACTTCCTCCGCCGACGAGGGCGACCCGCGGTACCGAAAGCGTGCAAAATGTGACATCTTTGGTCCTGGGCTTACTACTGGTCAGAGCCGCTAAAAGCTTCTTTTTAGTCGAAATACAAAATATAAGTGGCGCAAACTTGTCGACATACCTGCCACCAAGCGGTGGAAAAGGCGGCGCATACTAGAAAGGAGTAGTGGGATCAGGCGCTGACACGAAAAGGTTCCGGATGTATGCGGCGGCGCTGCGGTCGTGTGGACAAAAGGATCCGACCGGCTCCGAGCGTTCCGAAAGCCTTCGATGAGAAGCTTTGTGTTGCAGAAATTTGGCCGTTTCGCGGTATGGGAGCGCAAAGTGGCTCCCATTCTGAACTGATCTTTACCCCGTGTTCGCTGTCGTTTGTGGCCAATGAAGTGTCATGCCGAATTAGTATTTAATCGCGCAGCAAAAGCATTGAGAGCCGCTCTGGCTGCCCGCTGCATACAGCCTATCCAGAACGTGTTTTAGTGGTGCCCTCTTGCACCGTCGACACGGAGTGCGGCAGCCGTGAGCGCTCAATAAGCTCACTATGCCTCCTCTAGATCATTGCCACTCAAGCAACCAAGGACGTCATGGGGGAGGTTATTTTTTGCTTGTTTTTGTAATTTTAATTTGCCTATAACTTTTAAAATAAAGCGAATTTCGAGAAAAGAAGAGTTCCACTAAGTTACTACGTTCAGTGCGCTCAGGTTCAGTGCAAATTAAAAACCAGTAAAAAAGTCTTTGCAGGGCCTCTTTAAGCCCTTAACCGTTTGTAGTTGTTAGAAATTTCTGACCCTCAACTGCTTGATTGTTGCCTTTAAAATCAAAATGTGTGCTTTAAAGTCAAATTTTTAGCCACAAGTAGAACAGAAGTGAAATCTAAAAAATGAAAGTCAGTGTTGCCATCTGGAGACAAAGCCGCAGGCTAAGCTACGAGTGAGTCTGGGTCGTCCAAAACAATCGAGTGCACAAACCGGGGAGAGCAGACGAGCCATACTCGCCCCGCACAGTTTGGGCACGACTGTACATTGACGAGGTGCAAAACGGTTAAAGGCTGAGGACCAAGCTTGAGATTCTGCAAGGCAGAAGATCCTCCTCACCATGGGGGAGGGGGAAACAGCCAACGGTGGACAGGGTAGAAAGGGAGAGAGGAGGAAGCGGGGGGCAAGTGGAAAGCGCAAACTGGTCGACGGTCTTTAAGGGGGTAACCTAAATTTGACTCTGGACGAGACAAGTAAGGCGAATGCGACTCGAACACGACGGCGCCCGTCGAGTCTGTCGTCGTGCCTTTCCTTAGTCTCTGGCCTCTGATTGAGCGCCATCTCGGCACTGACGTGCATGCTGAACCGGTTGTGCATTCCCCCCTCACCAGCAGACGCAGGTGCGGCAGCAAGTCTGCGACCTTGTGGCAAGTGTGCGACAGCTCTGCCAGGAGACCAAGATCTTCATCTCGGAGAAGCTGGAGGAAGCGGTGGGTACCACACGCGCTCTCACGCTTCCCCTCTGTTCTCTTCAAGACGCAACATTGCCATAAATTTATGTATTGAGTTAGATTTACCATATTTTCCAGTGTATAAGCTACAGTGTTTTTCGAAAATTTCTGCCGGTAACATAATGTTAATACATAGATTTTTTTTTTTTTTTAATAATATGGAGTTTAACTCTGTAAATTTGCAACAGGGGCTAATATTTCTCCTTCGATTCGTTTAGGAGAATATTAGAACTGGCTCCCGCTTTAGCACATATCACACTTGCAATATTCATGTGCAGGCTTATCAATGCAGTTTTGCTGCTTTGATAACCCTGCCAGACATTATGGCCCTGACGTATAGATGATATAGCTGTAGGGATTGACTCACCTGTAAGGCTGTTTGCAGATGATTGTTTTATATCGCAGTGTAAAACAATTACGTGATTCTGCTCTCTTACTATCTGATTTTGACAAAATATCCAGTTGGTGTCGGGCGTGGGAATTAAGTCTCAGTGCTGACAGCTGTGTCCACGTCACTTTCGGGAAAAAATGAGACAGCATCCTATCGTGTTATTTTATTAATTATCGACATTTACATAGAAACATGGATGTGAAGTATCTTGGAGTCATTTTATCGAGCAATCTTTCTTTTAATGCTCTCTAGCACAATCTGTAAAAAAGTCTGGTAGAACGTTAAATTTTATTAACCTAAATCTATGCAGTGCTCCCAAAGAGCTAAAAGAAACTGCTTACTGCTACTTGATAAGACCGACGCTTCAATAAGCATGTGTTCTGTGGAACCCGCACCAAGCGTACCTAGCCACTAAAATAGAAAGAATTCTAAACTTTGCGTAGGATTTTTTTTTTTTTACTATCCTAAATTTTAACATTCAAGAGTTTGTTTTATTTAACAGTATTTATTGTATTTTTCCATTGTATTTATGTTTGTGATTATGTGCTTATTTTGTGTTTCCCTGCTGTAATGCTTCAGTGCTGCAGGTTGTTTCTGGAAATAATATAAAAGTATGACTTATAGACCATCTTTTCTGTGAAAACGGCCGTTTATAGGGGAGTGTGACTTATAGACCGGAAAATATGCTAAGTAAATATATATTTCGCAGTGCTGCATCTTGGAAACTCAAACCAGAGAGCATTTCGGGACTTTTGTTGCGGGAAGGTATGGTCACAAAAGCAGTTCTATTTGCACAGTTATCAGTACACTTGAAGGGAAGCTACGGAGCTTCTTGGAAAAAATGAGTTAGAAGTGAATTCTAGTGTATTTTTATCCCGTGAACCCGAATACCCAAACCATTTGCTGCGTAAGTATTGTTAAACGCGAAAGACAGTCGCTGTCCGTGACGTCGTCGACGGATCTTTTGGCTGCCCAAGGCTAGGAGGCGAGGCTTCAGCCCTATTTTGAAATTGCTCTTATGGCTCTCCGGTGCGTCGCATTGAAACATAATTGTGATATCTGTTATTCTAAAGGCCAAATGAATGCCATACAAGCGTTTTTTTCTCAAATGCAAAAGTGCCCTATCTTCCCTTTAATACGAGATAAACAAAGAATGACATTCATCACCCGGGAAAAAGGAGGCAACAGAGAGTAAAAGAGTGTCACAGACGACTGTGAGCCTCAGTTATAGACAAAGAAACGGCTGCGTTCCTCCGGTGCTTCGCTGCAGATCATGTCAAAATGCTGTGGCATTCCAAGGTTTTTTCTACGAAGACATTATTACGCCGTTTAAATTGAAACAAACCTTGTTCCCACACCCGGTTGGGCTCGCGCTCTCATCTTTGGTAACATGTTCCTTACTCGTTCCTCTTCACCCCGCCCACCGTTGTCGCACCTACACCACTTTAGGGGCGCACAAAGCCTGCAATCAAGAGCCTTCATAGTATCTGTAATCGGTTATCTTGCTGTCGAGCATGCATTGAGGAAAGTCCCCGCTTCAGTTGCCAATTGCTCGTGGAGCACCAAGTGTGCGAGTGCACGCTTCACCGAGGCTACATCTGCAGACACGAAAGTGGCTGACTCTATAAATGCTAGGCATTTAAAAACAGTTTGAAGAGTTTCCCTGCAGATTTAACTTTACTGTCTTAGAAGAAATGGGAGAGAAGTGATTGTCAGTGAGACATCTATAACCCCCTCCTCTCAAGCCAACTTGCAAGTGCACAACACGGACCAAAACAAGTGTCTATTGCACACATTCCGCTAATCGATGCTGGAAAGGAAGAGCGGATTGGCCATCGGAGGTCCATACGGCGGTGTTCCGCCTGTTCTTCAACAGAAACTGCGTCCCGACTTGGAAGAGAAGCTGGTGTCAGGGACCAATGCCCTGGAGGAGGAACTGCGCAAGTGCTTCGACCTCCAGGGACCGACCGGAGACGACGAGGTGAGTCGGCACTTTGCTTCGCAGCCGTCTCTCCGTGGAGTCCGGAGCCATCTATGGGGCGTATGTGCAAAACTCTACAGGTGACTTCCAAGAATAGACTGTTTGCAAAATTCTCAATCACCAAAGGGCAAGCTGCGTGTGTAGTTACTCACGCTGCATGTACTGGGTCTGCAGCGATGGCGCTTTAAAGCGAAAACAGATGGCACTTTGCATGTGCATTTGCAGTCTCCTTACATTAGTTCATTTGAAATCTTTAGCATAACGGAAGTATGTGTAGCGTGTGTGCCTATTATAATCAAAACCCTGTAACTTCCTCTTTGTCTCACAGCTAAGATCAGTGGTTCTCAAACGGGGGTCAGCGGGAAACTTTGGGCTCTCTGAAGGCCTTCTTAGAGTCCCCAAACCCCTCAGTTGAGCAATAAAATATTTTTTTAATTGATGCCGAATATCTTGCGTGCGCACTAGACGAGTAGGGTTGATTAGTCTATGTTACAGAGCTTCAAAGTTGGCTCGCATGCATTTAGTTCTTTTACTTCCCGCTTGTAATCATCGGTTATCCCCCCTTTTCCTCGGTGGGGGGTCCCCCATCACTTTTGCTCATCCAGGAGGGGTCTGCGAAACAGCAGTGGTTGAGAACCACTGGCTTAGATGATGATGTTCTCTAACCAGCTCACCCACATACTTCCACTTCTTGCACTGTGTGCCTACATTTCTAGCGTGCCCCTTGGTGCTTGGGTAATTTTGTAAATGGTTTAGTGGAGGAAATTTCAGAACAGACTTAGTTTTGAACATTCCATGGCATTGTTTTATGAGTTACAGCATATCAGGTCTGTTGTCTCATTTTTCTACTGTATAGTAATGTAAAATTTTGCAATACTTAACTATGTGATACTTAACTATGTGATAGATGCATAGGTGAGTTGGGGGTTGGGGGCGGTATAAGGAGTTAGTACTTTAGATGCTTTTATATAGACAGATTGTCCAGTTAATGGGGTAATATTTTAGTAAGTTGATATGTTCAGTTATGAGTTGGCGTAGACACTTAATGTGTTTTTCACTAATAAGGTCCTTCTGCTGACAACCTCCCTGTCATTGACATATCACTGCACTCGAAGGTGCAGGTTGGTTCTGGGGTGAAAGTTTCCCTTTTGCAGTGTTTTGAGTCTATCCGGAAATGACCCGGCTTTGTGTCGAGGGTTTCCTTTTTCTTCGCTTTGTGCCTTACTTTTCTCCCACTCTCCATGGAGGCAGTGTCCTTTTGTCGCTTTTTTTTTTTATGCGGGAGATTGTTTTGTGCACATTGTTGCATTGTGCATGTGTGAGTAGCAGCCTGCTTTTGTTTTTGCTTTTGCCATTTTTTTTCTGCCTTTCTTTTTTTCCTCTCCTGCTTTGTTTTTGTGACCTACTTTTTTGACTACTAGGCAAGCTTTCTCCCATGGGTTTGCAGCTTCTGCCAACGCCTGTCCCTGTCAAACCTTCGCTATGTTTTCCTTTTGGAGAGACGAAGCAAAGCACCATGTAAAAGAAATATAAATTGGGACGCAACTGTTGGGCCACAAAACATAAAAATCTAAGCGCAAAGGGCAAAGGCAAATGGTAGAACAAGACAGAACAGGTGCTTGCTATCAACTGACGTTTTAATGTATAAGTAGAGAAAGACGAAGTGAGGGATGTGATAATTAAATAGGTAGAAAGAGGTAATAACCACTTAACACAAAATGTAAAGGAGGATGTTTTTGGAAATCGTTTAAATTAAATAATACATAAACGCTCAAAATATACCGTAAAATCCTGAGAGATGCTCCACCCTTGAAAGATAGGCCACTCCTGTTTTGGTTAGATTTGCTATATTTTTTAAACACCAAAAGATAGCCCACTTCTAGTAATAGTAGTGTTGGGATCAATGATGGTCCAATAACCAGTTCAAGCACACCAGGTTTGCCTGTCTGCCTTGCACCCTTTGAGCGTTTCTGCGGCGTCACATTACGCTCCATTTTTCAGTGACGAAGTCAATAATGGCTTTGGCAAACTTTGGCGAGCGTAGCAATTAACAATAAAATCACCGCAGCAATTAACTGGTTTAGTAAATGTAATGAATTCTTAGGCAATAGATCTCTGGAACGGTATGTTATGAAATATTATTTGCAACCTGAAGGAAGGAACAACTGAATTGCACTTTCATTTTAATGGAGACTGTGGAACTGCGAGGAGCTCAGGTAATTTTGTCCTCAAAGTTAACTGACCGTGCCGAGGCATTTCTTTGCAGGCAATGCGTAGGATCTTTGCTCAAATCCCGAACACTCCGTCTTTCAACCTTTGCAAACATAATGCCCACTTGGGGGGAGATCCCGCTCCCAAACGAAAAAGGTGCTTTGCGGCTTCCCTCCCTTCCTTTTTCTTGCTGTCCTCCTCTCCTATCTGCCCTTCTTTTGCATTGCAGCTTTCGGTTTCTGACTGGCCGCCGCCCTGTTGCTTTTGATTGGCAGCGCTCAGGCTCCGCCTCCCCTCCTTCCCCCGACTGCGGCAAGCTCAAGGACCGCTGGTCCGTGCACTGAGGCCGAAAAGGGCATCCTAGCATCCACCGCAATCTCGCGCGCTACTTCGTCGGCGCATGCCTTGCGACTTGGGCCTCCAAAAAGTGGCCTTAACGTTTGTACGAGCTCCGGACTGGCACTAGGCTTCGCCAGCCCGTGCTCGGAAGCAACACGGACTTCCTTCCGTTGTGTTGGGGTTGTTTCGTCCGGCGCATGGTGTAAGAGTCGGACATGGGTATAAGCGGCCGCTTTCTCTGGCGTGACTTCGACACTGTCTTCCATTCACTGTCGTCATTGAGAGGTGTGGGAAACAGTGCACCTTGTGACTAGGCTAACCTGAACCTGTTTTGTTTTTTTTGCAGCTTTGATTTTTTAAAAGGAGTTGTGTTGTTGTATTTCACAGACCTTCTAACGAACGGAGCACTTGCATCCACTTTCCTTCTAGAGCATGCGAGAAGTAAATTGTGCCGATGTAGGAAAGGTGTCGAGCAAATGATGAAGCGCACCTGACAGCATCGGTATTGAAAACAAATCAGTGTATCTTAATCTTGCGGATAGAGTTGGGAGCCACGGGACGTGCAGCGCGCCTTGTGGGCTGCACTGGATTAGTCAACGTACAATGTCGCGTCATATTATTAAATTCTGTGAGAAAATCGCCTGTTACCATACATTTTCGTTACACTTCCACATTATACTTTTTAAGAGTTCTTTTTTTTTTATGAAATTTAAGTTTGATACATGTTTTGTGTAAAATGCTAGTTATACCAGGATGCAGTGTGCTGCATTGCATGTTTAAAATGTGCTGTACAGGAAAGGAGATGCACAGGCTCTGTGTGTAAAGAGCACAAACTACCGTACATATATTAGACAAGTGTAGTAGCTTGCCAATGGCACGTCAGCAGAACAAAAGAAACAGAGTTTGGTGAGTCTTTGAAAGACAACTTGGGAGCTGGTTGCAGCCCTGGCTTGAAAAGGATGCCTTTATACTCTAGCACGGATTCCACTGTCTGTAGGCTGTTTATATCCCACACTGTTGTGTACATTATCTTTCTGTTCTTGAAACAGCCGCTTGAGGCAACTTTGATGTTCCCGTCAGCTACCACATTGCATTCATGATGACACGTTTGTTTTCAAGACCATTGGTGCCCCCTATAGGCAGGTCTGTTGGTTTCCTGTGCCTGCAAGTGAGCTAGGATTTTAACAAATTACAGGAGTTGTACAAGATGCTTCATGGATGTTAACCACTCTAGACTTTTTCTTAAGTGCTAGGAACCACATGCTATGTGAATTTATATTCCGGAGCTAAACCAATGTAATCGTAGCTACTTATGCTGACTTAATTATGGCAACCCTTTCTTAAAATAAACTTAAGCTTTAAATTTCGGTGTGGTATACTAAATGTGATCCCATCTGAAGATTGTACATTCATCTTAGCTAAGAAAATCTTGTTCTTAATGATACAAGCTTTTCTTCGATTGTTGTTGATTTTTCTGTTTTTGTATTAAAACACCTGGCTTAGAGTGGTTGTCAGGGGGGGGGGGACTGCATTATCACGCTGCATTCACGAAGCTGCCTATGGGATATGCACAATTCATTACGCACACTCTAGAAACGCCCAGTTTGGGTGCACGTTCCAAACTTCCCACAGCGTCGCCCGCTTTCTGGTCAGTTTTTCTTTGCCACGATGCCGTTCTTTGGACGGCCCTGAGGAGTTGCTTGTGCTTGCATGCGCATGGTACGCATTGCCTGCTTGCATTTCGCTTGCCTTGCATAGAGCCCATTTGGTGTGCTGCTTGACTGAGATGCGAAGAACGACTACGAAAAACATTCTAGTACAATGAGTTTCGACACACAAGGTACGACTTTTTCAGTCGGTGTCTTCCCATTCAGCGACCACCTATCAAACTTTTGTGTCAAATTCGCGACTGTGACTGTGCAGAGTACCAGCACTGGACATACTGGAAGCAAATAGCATGTGTTCTCAGGATTGTTACGCTCAAGAACCTGAGATTTGGGAAAGAAGTGTGATTAGTATCATTACTGCTCAACAAAACTCTTCTACCACGTCTTCCCCCGAAGTGCTGAGATTCCATTTTCAGCCCCTGGACTATAGTGTGCAGGTTTCAAACCCTCGATGGTCCCTTCCCCAATGAGTCCTTGGGGCATCGCTCATAATCTTGGACGACTTAAAACCCCCATGTTCCCTCTCCGACCATTCTCTGATGTTGACTGTACAAATGCAAATGTGATGACTGCTCACTTCGGTTCTTTCCCAAACATTATTTCACTAGTACTGCATACCTAGAAACTCATGTTTACGGCATATTGCATGTTAGAACATGCCCTTAGATGCGTGTGACTTTTCTTCTCCATCATCCAAGTCTTAATTTCTTTGCCTTGACTTGCTTTGCTCTTATTGAAGCGGGGATTGGGGCCATAGACTGAATATAGAAATAATGCATACATGCAAAATTGTTGTGTTCCGAATGCTCTATTTGAGTATGCCGTGTGACTATACAGTACCTGTCGGTGTACCGTGCACTCTTTTTAACTGCTTCTTCGCTGTTTCTAGAGCCCAGATGCATTTGTGACGTCAATGCCAACTAAGCACTCTCCGCAGGGTTGTCAAAATTTGCTGCGGGAGAAAGCTAACCTAATTCTAAGAAAGCATAGTTTTCACTCACTTTTTAAGAATGGTTGCATAGTACTAGTATACAAACCACTAAGATTAGTGTGACAGTAAGGTATTTCATACCTCACTGTCACACTATCGGTGGTCGTCTAGCCATAATCTCAGGTTTCTCCCACCTTTCGCAACATTTGAAACAATAGGACCCCAAAGTTCCTAACCCCGACATATTTGAAAGCCAAGTTCGGGTTGAATGACTAGCCAGTTCGGGTGGTAGCATGCGCCACCTAGCAAGCAAAAGCTCGACCAGGCTAGACTTGGCTTGGCTAAAGGGCGCGACAGTTCCCATAATGCCCCGGAGCCTCCAAATTCCCATAATGCCCCGGAGCGCTCACTGGTGGCACTGGCATTTTCAGAGAAGTCCATTGACCATCATGCAGAGCTGGCGGAAAGCAAAACCTGGTAATCATTTTGTATGAAACACATTGCATATTATTATTGGAGAAACCGAAAGAAAAAAAAACTGTTTTTAGGAATGTGTAATTGGTAATGAAAACCGTAAAAATTAAAACCGAAACTAAACCGATATCAGCAGGAAGCGGTAACCTTGACAGAAACATTATATTTTTCGGTCTGAGTCCCTGGTTCTAACGCTCGCTATTCACTCGCCGAACCTCCGCCTGCGGCACCCGTAGCAGGAGCACAAGCGGCCGCGAAGCCTGTTCAAGCTCAAGTTCAAGCGCACCAAGGCGACGACCAGCCAGCCTGTGAAGACGGAGCCGTCATCGTCCATCAGCAGCAGCGGGGGCGGGACCACGGACGACGGGTCGGGAGGGCTCCTGCCGCATTGCCGGGGCGGCGGGTCGCGCTGCAACACGCCCACGTCGGTCGAGGGGTCGCCGGACAAGGGGGCGGCCGTCACCCACTGGACAGCGGAAGAGGTGGCCGCCTGGCTGGCCGAGATCCACATGCGGGAGTACCGGGACAACTTCCTCCGGCACGACATCAGGGGCGCGGAGCTGCTCAGCCTCGAGAGGAGGGATCTCAAGGTGAGGGAACTTGGCCACCTCACTAGCAGATGGGATAGAGTGAAACGGCAGGTTTTCTTATGGCCTTTAGTTTAGGCAGTACTGGGAGGGGTAGAGTAGTCGCGATCCCACATGGCTAGAGAAAATCCCGTCGCTCCTAAGCGAGGGCAAAGGCCGTAAAGAAAGCCGCTGTCTCTAACCCAGCTGCGACTTGCCTTCGCAGCTTCTGCCGTCATTTGCCATTAGATCTTCGCTGGACTTGTGGATGGACGGTCGTACCCTCTTTCCCAGCTTCATGCTTGCCGTGTGTTTCTAGCTTTGCCGAAGTTGCCTAGAGAGGCTGGAGTTAAAAGAGGGAGCAACTTGAGTTACGGAGAGCTTTTGCAATTTAATGATGGATGCCTGTGCAGAGTGGTTGTGTGCGTGCATTGCCGTGTGGCAAGGAGGATGGTGAGTGGAGAGGCGGTGCAAAGCTTGGAGGCACTCGAAGCTTTTGCTACCTCCTTGCGCTTTGTATCGCAAGTGTGCCCCATAAGCCATGTGACCCACATTGAGCAGTTGCAACCAAAGTCACTGAATCCTGGGAAAGTAGCACCATTGCCTTCCTTGCCTGCTAGCCAAACACAAACGGATACTAACATACAGACAACCAAGACCTCGCAAGGCAATTGGCAGATCAATCTTTGTTGCCGTGGCAATTGTCATTTCGGTCCACTCAAATATTCAAAGCCTCGAGAGGGTCATTCTAAACGAGTTGCACCAAGATCGCTATGGAGCGTTGTCGCACTGAAAGCGTTCCTCGCCAACATAAGTGTCTTTGGCACTGTGTGTACAATCGACCTCTCAATCATGCCCATCTCCACGGATATCTTACAATGATAAAGTTCCTCTTGCCTATTTCGAGACGGTGAAATTATTTTTCAATGCCACCAAGCGCCGACGCCGGGCGGTTGCAAAGGAGTTTGCTTATTTTGCCGCTGTGTGGGTAACAAAATCTTGGTACACGAGAAATGTCTCCATAAAGGAACCTGTCACCGGGAGTTTGGATCTTTTTACCAAGAATGGAAAGGTGAAGGAGAAGCTGCTCATTCCATGGACCGAAATGGTGACCATACATGGTGCTTGGCACTACTTTCTTAGGGTCCAGTGCTTTCCCTTACAACCACTCTCAGATCTAGCATACACACTAGTGTTGCCAGTAAGAGATGGTCTGTTACGGGGGTGGCCAGGCTGCCCCGGCCTAAGAGCCGCAAACAAAACCACGAAACTTTCAAGAGCCCCAAGGGGGCGGGGCAGGGTGGGGCAAACTTTGGTCCTGAGCAGTGAACAAAGCTCGAACTATACTTTATCCAAGTCAAAACCAGTCCAACTGTACGTAAGGTAGCAGTAGCACAAGACGACCAAACCGTAATCTGTCTGCCGATTTCAAACATGTTCCATTTCCCTTTTTGCGGAAGTGCTTGTGTGACCGGGAGGGAGGCAGGGGAGTGGGAGGGGGAGGGTAGTAGGGGGGGAGCCGCGAGCCGCACTTTAATACATGAAGAGCCACATGCGGCTCGCGAGCCACAGCTTGGCCACTCCTGGTCTATTACTATAGATAACCCAACTCTCCGACGTCACGCCACTGCAGTGGCACTGCTGTCGCCACTTGCACATGCGCAGATGCTTTGCCTCACGCAAATCTGGTTTCAGTGTGTTTCAGTGTAAACAGTGTGTTGGTGTATACATGGGCGGCAAACAGTCAACTGTCTAACTTTATTGAGGTGTGACTGAAACATGCACATTTCACTCATGTGCCTGTATCACTCATGTGCGTGCTTCACTCATAGGCGTGCCTCGTTCATGTGCGTGTCTCGCTCACGTGCATCTCTCACTCACGTGCATGTCTTACACATGTGCATCTATCACACACGTGTATGTCTTACTGACATGTTTGTCTCACATGCGTCAGTAAGATGGGAGATGTGTGCGTGCACGTCCAATACATGTAGATGTCTCGCACACACCTCGCAGATGTCGCATACATGTGCGGGTCTCCCGCGTTTGTGTCTTGCACATGTGCTTATGAAGCTACCTAGGTGTGTGAACACCGCGGTATATACATATATACTAGTATGATGTCTTTCTGCCAATCAAGGATCACACTAATATAAAATTTTCCAAATGAAAACACTAGTTTATTTTAGACTAAGTAAGGCCTGTGACAGGGAAGCCTGGCATATTATTGTTATTTTTAGTGGCTCTAAACCTTTTTTTTTTTTTTTTTAATTCCAGAGTTGTTCAACAAATTTTTTTTAAGAAACGCTCGCTGAAATAATGCAGTTTATAAGTGAAGCTACGGTAGGCACGCGTGCTGTAGCCATGCATTCCTACATCTGCAGATAGCATGCTAACATCTGCTGATAGCTGGCAATATGTTGGTTAGTCAATTCTTCATTTGAAGGGGTTACACTGACCAGAGAGGGTCGGCAGCTGCTAATGATTCACTTTTCTCCCAAAGGTTTTTATTGACGCGAAAAATAGCTCATCTGATTGAACTGCATGACTAGAAACAAAACAATTTTTTGTTTTCAGTCATGAGCTTGTTATCACTGCTGTTACAATTGTGTCATCACAGTTGTTATTAGGTATTTAAGAATAACAGCATGAATGCTATAAAAACAGTCTGAAAAAGACTGCAGCCAGAGGAGCTGAACACAGCACTGCTTGTATGTGATGTTCAACCCACCATCTAGCGTACCGGCATGTCTTACAAAAAGGAGGACGCCAAGTTTAAAGCCTGGTTTACGCATTTGCGTCAGTTCCATCCACAGCAACCAAAACAGAGGCAAAAACCAAGACGTCACAACATCAACCCTTCATTTTCGTCCACCATCACCATTTTTTTTTTTAAATTTAGCATATTTTATTATTTTATTATAGTTGGACGCAGCGCCGCGGGCCTTCGCGGTATGTGCGACTTGCTTTCTGCGGTGCCGCGGCTCTCCTGAGCCGAAATAAATGTCACTATCACTATTACAATCGGGACTTGACAAGACTTCTTGCGTCGCTCTTCACGTCGTGTACAACAAACGCTTTTCCCAGTAATTTTGTCGATGCTGTCATTTCGGTCGCTCCGAGTACAACAACCTTGTATATACTATGCGAGCTAGGTGTAAGAGGGCTCTGTTCTCAGCCTGGAAACTGCTTTGCTGCCTTTGCAACACAGTCAAACCCCTTGCCGTCCTTCTTTCCTGACTTGGGCTCCGACGCTCGCGATCTCGCAGGAGCTGGGGCTCACCAAGGTGGGGCACATCAAGCGAATCCTGCAGGCCATAGCAGACATGAGGCTGTCCACCTCTTCTCCTGGCGCCCACGCCCACAGCACAGCCAAGAAGTAACTCGCCGCCGAACATGACCAGTACTCCCGCAAGCCCGGAGGAGACGGCCCTGGGTGAAAAACAACGGCACGCCGAAGGACACCGGCCGCCAATTCGCTGCCGCTCGAGTCCACCACGACAATCTACGGCAGGCCTTCGAGCTTCGCAAAGTCGGCTTTGCGAGAAACATATCAGGGAACGACGCTTTTGTTGTTTTACATAGTTTGTCACGACGCGAACGGAACACCGCGACTGGCCGAGAGACGCAAGATGGTGTCTCAAGGAATTCGTTTACATTGAGGAGAGCTAAAACTCTCTAGTCGCCGGACAAGAACGACGTCTCCTCTAGATGCTCAGACTCCGGCACGCACCTGTTGCCTTCCTCCGTGCTTCGGCGAATCTCATGGGACACCGAAGCACTGTGGAAGGTGCTCGCACCGGAGACGGGACAACTGGAGGGCTACCCCGCCGTTCCAGTCCTGTCGGCGACGCGTGACCTTTTTCGGGTGTAGGCACCGCGACCGTGTGTCCTCACCCGAAAAAGTTCTACCTGCACGTCACTTTATTTTTAATTTCGGGAGTGGAGTAGGCAAAGCGAAAATGCAGAGTACATAAGCCTTTCTGGAGCACACTCTCAAAACTCTGACTGAATTGACGCACCCCTCTCTCTTCCAAATATTGTCGGGATTATCTCGTTTTCGTGTGGGCGCTGGCGTTGTAGGCAGTTTGGAGCAACCAAGATCGGGCACAAAGACAAACCACAAAGCGATATAGTACCGATACGGATGTGTTTCATTCAGATAGCGAGAAAAAGTACTGTTTACCCAGCCTACCCGACAGTAACGGTGCGCTCACTACCAGATTGTATCGTCGAAAACAAAGCTGGATACAAAACCATTGGATTTACGATCTAGTCTTTAAAATTTGTTTCTAGTAGTATGGCCAAATGGCCACTGCTTGACTTCTTCTATGGTGCAGAATAATTGTTCGGCATGGGACTACTTCACTGCTTCAATTGACAGTCGATAGACAAGGGGTGCATTCTCCAGTCATTGATGTAGTTTTGACCTTGTACAAATTTAGGAGCAGTTTGGAATTATCTCTAAACCTGGGTCTTTGTGCCAGCTCGCTGGATTTTGCCTCTTAGGCTCGTAGGGCTCGAGAATTCTAATCGTTCAGCAGTAAAATTCTTTCCGCGTGCAAGATGATCTTGTATGGTCTAGATCAGTGGTTCCCAAATGGGGGTTTGCAGACCCTTTGGGGTCCATGGAGGCATTCCAGGGTCCGTGAAGCCCTGCGTAATAAGTCAAACCCGGCAATAAAAGAGTTGTTTTTTCAGATTAAGAAAAAATGTTCCAATTATCTGGTGAGTTTTCTCGTGTGTATGTCAATTGGAGAAGTCTTTTTCACACTAGCCCTTAGTTACATCCATTTATTAAATTATTATAACATTTAACCTATACCTAGCTTCCCTTCCCTTCATCACAAACGTGGTCCTCCATCATCTCCGCCGCCCCACAAGGGGTCCGCAAGACCTCAATGGTTGAGAACCACTGGTCTAGATAAGGTTGGCACGAAGACATTCTACTCTGCGAATGTCCCCTGTGTCGTCATCCAGTGCTTGCTGGATGTCATGGTGCTCCACTTTGCCCAGACAGCGTTTTCTGAAACATTGCTCGCAAAAGCTGCAAGAGTGCCAAAACGGGGCCAACATTCTCGAACATTCCGCCAACTTCTGCATTGCTGGCGCACGACGCCGAAACCATATGCCAACTTTATCACTCATCAAAACAGTCGCATCGCTTGCACTAGATTTGCAATGCCAGTCATACATAGTCCACGCAAGGGCAGGTGCAGACATTGGTGGGACCGCGTTTTCTTCCCCGGAAATCCAGCTTTGCCATATGCGGCCATTAATGGATGCTCCCATTTCCCACTTTTTTTGTCCGTCGTATCCTCTTTTTCTCGAGCATTCATATATAGGCGGGCGGCTAGACATCATTTCCCCCTTTTTTTTTTTCTTCTAGTTGTATCTTACTTGCTCCCCATTTTTGCTTTTAGGTGCTACATAGTCAGAATTTTGCAGTTCTCATTGTGACAGAATTTGATAGAATTGTGGTTGTTAAGGCAAGTTGGAGCATCATGGTGTTGCACGACACTACCGTAGGACTCTAACCCGAGGACGACCAAGTACTTTTCAAGCGGGGGAGGGAACGTTTGCGGCAGCCGTTCTGCAAGTCCGCTCCCGTAGCCTGACCCAGCGCATCGTGTTTGAAAAGCAAGTTAGATCAAAGCAGGGTTAGAGACTTATGGATGCTAGGTGAGCCAAGCAGCCAGAAGACTCGAAATATGCTTTTGTTCATCCGAGGCACTTAGGCGATCAAACTTCTTACCTATGGTACAAATGTCATGCACTTTGGCAACGCATACTCTCGTAGCAGAGCAGATTAAGACGCTGACGTAGCTGCACGCACGACTTTTCTCAAGGCGATGTGCATCCTACGGAGGCAGGCAGACGCGTATTGGAAAGAATTGGTGCGGTTCTTTGGCAATTACCTCGGAAAACCAGTGCCTTTTCCTTGAAACGAGGGCGTTCCTCGGCCAACTGTTTTTTTTTTTCTTTTACCGGATTGACGATTGTTATGTAGTTGGTAGATTGATCAAAGGCCTCTGCGCCGGCTCTTCTGTTGACAGTATTCAATAGGTGAGGCTATTCTGGCTTTTAGCAAGACGGTAGAATAGCTTTGCGTGGTGATGGTCGGGAAATTTGTTGTGGCTTTTCCGGCCTCCTATTAGCCTTTGCACACAGAAACATTTGGTGTCGCCCGAAACATCCTGCCCCCTCTCTCTTATCCGGACGATGCTGTTCAATGTCTGCAATACTAATTAACGACAATCAGCATTGCTCTTGCGTCGCTTGGAACTGGTTTAATTATCTGACCGCGCGGTAGTTGTTAGAGAGCGGCGCTCCTCAACCCGCATTACAACCGGAATGCGAGTCTCTTCGCAGATCGAACAAAGCTAAAGCCACCTCCTGGCAAAGTCACTTGCAATACCAGACATGTAACGTGAATCTAGGCAAAGCACAATAATCAGCATTTACGGACATTGGGAAGCGAGCCGATCGGAAAGTTACGCTCGCGAGAGGTGTCCTTGCAGTTCATCTTTCGTATAACTTCGGGTTGCTTAGTATCGGCAAATCCTCGTTTTCTAGTCGAGTTCTTGATAAGCATTGCAGTCTAGCTTGACCACAACATATTTCATCCGGCTCGACGGAATGTGAGGGGAAAAAAAAACGGTGTATGTCCGAGTCTACCTAAACGAGGTTCCGGTCGTAAGCACGCACGTGCGTACAGTCCCGACGTCTCTCCATGCCAATCCCTATGCAATCTGCACGGCAGCCTTCAATCTAAAGCTGGTACTATTGGAACATAAAGCTCCCTTCCCCCGTTCCGACATATATATACTCATACTTTTTTCTCCTCCGCGTTCTGCAAGCCGTTTCATGACACATCATTGACTCTGAGTAGCACACACTTTCTTTCGGGAGAGCAACAGGTGTTGTGGTGCCAAGCTAATGAAACCACCGTACTCTCCCCAGTTACAAAACAGCAATTGAGCGTCCCGCAGTGTTTTTTCACCACTTTGATGTGGCCTCCCCGACTCCCTGTCAAGCTTGGGCGCTTCCTAGCTCGCTTGTGGGCAGCCCTATTCTTGTAATCATGTTTCAACATTCGGCGTTGCCACACGTCTTTCTGGGGACGCTGGCGCGTCTGTTGGGAAGTTGTGAGCACCCGACCGTTTGTACCGCACTCTTTTCTAGCCACGTGCCTTGTACATGTACTTACTCTAAAAGCGTTGTTCGTCGTATGCACTGCATAGACTTTTTTTGCCGTGCATTTAGTGATGTGCCGATTGGTGTTCCTTTCCAATGTTTCCCAGCATTTGTACTCTTTTTTGGGTGCAACTTTTCCCGGGCCGAAAACCCTTACAGTTTTCACGGGCCTGTCACGCGTATAACCTTATTCCTCATTTCCGTGTTGTGTCCGGTACCCGTACATTTTACCTTTCATGGAGCCATATCTCAGTTCAGCTGGAGACCCCATTCAACTGTCATTTTGGCGGTTTGGCTGAAAGTTTTAACTTGACCAAAGATTTCGTGTTCAGCTGAAAGCTTCACATTGCATAATGGCACCCTGCTACGACTAAGATTCACAGGCAAACAGAAGGCAGAGTTCTTGTTTGAACTGGCGTTTGCGTGGAATTCGTAGATGATCAGGTCGGATTAAGACCGGCACACAAACGCCAGCCTGTCTGACTGAAACTTTCGACCAAATCGAGACCTAAACCGTATTGAGATGCTCCTCATTAATTTTTTCTTTCAGGTGCACTCACCTCCTTGGTGCTTGCCAAGTAGCTTTGTGTTGCACAGGCACATCAATGCAGCAGCATCACTTTAGGAAACACCTTTTTGAATGCAGCCCTTTCGAGAACCGTGTCAACGCATGTGCACATGTTCCACAGAAGCACACTTATGCACATTTCCAACCACACTCGTGTCTGTTCATAACATTGCTGTTGTTGCATTTTTCTTTCTTTTCGGTGTTGTGCATACAGGTTGCATGCAACTACTTGACAAACCCCACAGGTGTGGGACGTCGAGCCACCAGCGATATGTTTACGGCACGTTGGTGGTTGCCTAACTGTTTGTCTTACTTACTGGGCAGCTTGCCTTTAAAGCTGCCCTCTGTATAGGTGCTTCCTTGGATCCGGAAGGTCGGCAAAGAATCTTTGGCGAAAAGAATGCTCGTGGCCGACCCGCTCGATCATTTGAAGTATGTACGAAGTACATTAGGCGCACGCTGCAGGGATGTACAGCTGGTAACGTATACCGTCGTATGCCTGTCCCGCGGACTTCTGGAGCAATGATGGCTTTTACGCCGATGTCGGTGGTACTACTTAATAGGAAAGCGGACGAGAAACGGAAAGCCGCAGCAGTGGAACCGGTTTCGGAAAAAAAGTTGCAAGGGCTGGGGCCTTTCCTTTTTTTTGGTGCCCCTCCATTCGTGCTGCTTGCGACAACATGTTTTACAATTTATATGCGTATTATATACAAGCTGTAGAGCGTAGTTGCGACCCAAAGCGCCAAGGTGTCAACAAAGAAAAACTAAAAAAACTGTGCATATTGAGACCACCGTGCCTGAGACGACAGGGGGCCAGGCAGAAGGGGCAAACGGGAAAAGGAAGTTTGACTCGCAAGGAGCCGACAAAACTGACGGCACTCTTTGTTATTTTTCGGAAAGCGGCCAACGACTCTCTGCGCGCCTTCGACTTTGGGACGAGCAAACTCTGGGCAGTTACTGCACCCCCTTTTGAGTGTTGTCGTCGGACGAGCTTTCCGCGTCCCGTGTGGTGAAGTGTTTCGAAGCACCGACCCTTCCCCTTGTAACCAAACCAAATGGCGCCTCAAGTTGCGAGAAGTGTAAAAAAACAAAAAACTATTCTTTGCAACTGCACTGCATGAAAGAAAAAACTCCCCTCAAGTTTTTTGTTTTTTTGTTTTTTGTACACACACTTGTAAATATTGTTCTTATACATATTGATTATGTTCATTTTACCCTGTTTTTAGTGGCAATAAACTGCGTGCTTCGAGTTGACTGTGTGCAATCGTGCGAGCATTTTCCGCCAATTTCAGGTGGAGAGTGATCGGGTAAGCGAGAAGATAAAGAGGCCTATGGAACTGTATACCAAGTGTTTCAGCAAAATTTCAAAAATAAACGTGTAGTACGTACCAATTAGAAACTTGCTGGGCATCATCTAAAGCTATGTTGTTGTCCCTAATTAAGAAGTGAATAAGTGAAAAGCGTGCAAACTAAATTTTAACTTAGCTAATTACAGTAGTATATTATTTGTAATCCCTGATGTCTGCCGCGGCTAAGAGAGTTTGTTCCCGAAAATACTTTTTTTTTTTTCACAAATATTTTAATTGAGGTTTTTGCTGAAACACCTGCTATAATTGGATCCAGGTTAAGAATGTGCCAGAATTTCCACCTCCAGCGCGAGCTTCCTACCTTCAGTAACAGTTTGGGGCCGCGTCAGCAACACGACTGAAGGCAACGGACGCGTGCTGAGGGTGGAGTTTCTGGCACAGTGCACGAATTTCCCTGTCCTCTTGGACATCTCTGGTTAAGGAAATTGAGAGCCTGTCCAAGGACAAAGCGTGCTCAAAGTGAGCACCATGCTTATGTCTGTGCCACGGTGATTGCCAATTGTCTAGGGCTGGTTCTCACAATCGCGTTAGTTGCACCCACAGGGCTGGCCCTATCGAAGAGGAGGAGTGACGGTGACGCCCCAAGCGGTTAACTTTAGAGCTACATGGATGGGGACAACAAAGACAATGACTCGGCGCTCGGCCGACATGACCGAATGCGGCGTCAGCGTTCGGCTGGAATTCGTATTCTCCAGTGAGGGGAGGAGGGGCTCTTTTGTTACCACTCCGGCCTGCATGAACAATGCAGGATGCACGGCGCCCAGCTCAGCACGAAAGCCCAAGTGGGTCAAGCTCGCATCCTCTGACGACTGCTTTCGGGAGAGACCCGGCACTTAACGTCACTTCTTCGATTGTTAGTATTTTTTGCATTACACTGTGCCCCGTGCTCTATTGTAGAAGATGACATGGACATGCCCATAAGGCCTGTGGGCATGTGCACAGGCCTTGTGTTGAGTAAACACCAAGGTTTGGTGAAACAAATGGGTCGGAGTGCCAGTGTCCTGGGCGAACACTGGCCGTGGCACCTCTCCCTCCCCTCCCCGCCTTTTTATGCACGCCGGCGCCCACCCTTACAGCCGGCCCTGCCCACAGCAACCAAAACGACCAGGACAGCCATGGCTCGTGGTTGCTTCACGAAGCTGTTTCTCGCATTGCTTGATGTGTGTTCAGCAAAAACTTGTCAAGGTGAGGTCAGTAATGTGATTGCTGTGCCAAACTGGGCCAAACTTGCCCTGCTACATGCATCTTCCGCGTCTCTAGCTCGCTGCTCGCCCTCCCACGGCGCAAACGGGAAGCGCTCTAGTGAGGGTCCCCCACTGGGGTCCCCAGTTCTCCTGCTCAGCAGGCACGGCGGAACTGCTCGCTATCGTGGCTCGCGTCATTTCCGAATGCAAACGCTCTTCACTGTCCCAATGTAGGGCTGCAGATGGAGTTGTCCCTTACTAGAGAGTTTTAGTGTGCGTTTGATTTGCGTGCTCCACGTTGTGCATGCACGTCGTCGCCATGCGCCAATCCAAGACCACAATTTCGGACTCTTTGCACGCGGAGGGAGAGGGGGGGGGGGGGGGGGGGGGCATTTGGTCTAGAAGGATTGGCAACTACTGGAAGTTTTGCAGATTGTCAAACAGTCGCGACTTTGATAGCATTGTATGCTTTGCCCACAATTAATGTAATTTTACTTTGATTTCCCAAATTAGTATATTCATTGCTTTTAGACTTCATTTTATAACTAATTGTTCATTAAAAATGCAATTGGCACAAGTGATGATAATTTGCACACTTGATTACCACACTTGTTTGTGCGTTTGAATTAAAATATCTTAATTGTATTAATATTAATACAAATTTCGGCGATGTAGGCCCCCAATAAATGCCACGATCACAAAAATATGCCATTTAACCATAACACTCTTTCCAGAAAGGTATCACTTTGTTTTATTTTTTGCACATAAAGAACTCTCACATCGTTATCAAGATACACAAACAGTCAAACACTGAATGGCGTTGTCTTAAAAACATTTCTGCTGCCTGACTAGGATTCCATCTTTGGGTTTTTGTCATGTGAACAGTGTTTCTTAATTTATATGTTTTGTGAACATGTTCTAAACTCATCACCCGTGGCAATATTTTATCAGATTTGGATTGAATCTGTTACTCTTGTGCTGGGAATAATGTTGAAGCAATTAATCATCTAAATACCCAAAACCCATTAAAAAGCCTGTAGGTAATTATTTCACATGACAGTCATCTGAGCGAGAAAAAGCACCGAGAACACAAATATTAGTACTGATTTTTTCAACAAATACAATACTCTATGTTACCTCTAAGGTGTAATATTTCAAACTATTTTTAAGTGCCTGGATCGAACACGTACATCACAAAATGAAGTTTCTACGAACAACTTTAGCTCAATAATTAGTCTAAAAAAAAGAATAAAAAAAAGGTATAGTTTCGGTTTCGTTTCAGAATTAAAACGTGCCTTCTGACGTAAATATAACGCTAAACACCGTTTTTAATGTGAAAGCATTAACTGTCGCATAGAGCGAGCCGACGCCATCAGCTTTGAAGCCGCGCCAAGCGGTAGCTAAATTCCCCTCTCCCAATGGTGCAAAGTGAAACAGCGATCTGAAGCCGCGCAAAAAGCCTCGCAAAACGGCAGCTAAATTCACCTCTCCAAAAGTGTAGCCGAAATCTGATGGATAGGCTCGATCCCTCCCATTGGCTGGCGCGCGTCATAGTTTCAAGGTACGAGGCTCCCACTGGCCACCGCTCGTCAGTTTCAAGGAGCGCCACCCAATGGCGCTGCGGGCCCGCGCCGCCCCAGAGCTCTGGCGCCGCCCGCGGCTCTGGCGCCGCCTAAAGCCCTTTGATAAAGACAAACGTTAACACACTGAGGGGCTTTAGCGCCGCGCCAGCGCGTCGGTAAAAGGAATCGGCTGGCGGCGGGGTCCGCTCAGGCAGACTTTAGAGCGGCAGCACGGCCGATGTCGGCGCGGCCATCTCACGAGAGCGCGTACAAGAAGAGCATTCGTGGTTTCGCATTCACACTTCTCATAAGAAGCTCAAGCCTTTTGTTTTTAGGATAAAGAGGTGACCTGCGCTCGTAACACCCTAGCTTCCTCGTATAATTAAGCAGGAATAATTTGTGTCTCTCAGCAAAGCAATGGGTGAAGAGTTCAGGGGAAACTCCTCCCAGCACTTTCCACTTTAGCAAAGCGAACGCTGGAGAGGAGTACGCCTCCTTTCCAGCGTTCGCTCTGCTAAAGGGGAAAGTGCTGTGAGAAGTTTCCCCTTTAACAAACTGGAATACCAGCATACATTTCTGACCCTCACTATACCCGCCATTTCGGGAAATAAGTAGCGAAACTGGTAAGTACTTTAAGTACATTGTACATAAAGTACTGCTTCAAGTAGGTTTAGAACACTTGTACCTTGAAGTATATTATCTGAATATGTGCTTGTACTTTGAAGAGTACAATTCCCGACTTCAAAGTATATTCCACAAATTTTGAGTTATTAAATATGTATCACAAAATGATGCTTTGTCAACTTTGAAGTAACCGGACGGATAATTTTTCTCTCACTAGAAACGGAAGCAGACAACTCTTCACTCATCTGGTTATTTTTGTGAGTGAAATGATGGCGGCTTAAAGACCGATACGAATGATAAATGCCTCCGAAGCTGGTTGTGTGAAATGATATTCGCCGCCAGTTCCGGAAATAACTCGTTTAGCCCCATGAAATAATTCATACCCGTAAAAAACAAAAAAACAAATACTGTTTGGGGGAATTAAAGCATGAAAGATTTTGTTAATAAGTACTTGTACTTTGAAAGTACATTTACTTCAAGTACATTGCACCCGGTCTCTTACTACTTCACTTAAAGTACATAACCTCTCATTTACTTCGTACTTTACTTCAAGTACTTTTCAAATGCACTTTACGTAACACTGGCTATGGTAGGCTTGTTCAAATTTTAAGAACTTTCGATTATCGCTAAAAATACGGCATTACTCTGGATTTCTGTATGGAACACCTAGAAGTCTTTGCCATATCTGTCATGTTTGTAGTCTGTCCAGCAACCGCAGGTATCGCGATTTTGCGTGTCTTCCCCAAAGCCATCGTGCTGAGAGGGAAAAGCACCCCTCCAGAGCGGGACGTTTGTACACAGGCGTCGGGTATATTAAATAATAATAATAATAACTTGGGTAAGTTTTTCTTTAAATATCGTACAGTGTGAATTTCTTACGGTTTTCATTTTCAAATCGGTTATTTAGCAAGGATACTTGGGCTTATAATGAAAAACCCGGGATACTTGGGTACAGATACGAGCAGCGGCGTAGATTTTCCATTTTCCCGGGGGGGGGGGGGAGGGGAGCAGGCTGAGAAGTTCTCTGGGGGGGGGGGGGGGGGAGGGGCTGGCTTTTTCGCGCAATTTTTTTTTACACCGGCAATTATCAGTAGTTTCTTTAAGGGGGTACATTTTACAGCGTAAGTATTTTGCCATGTGTCCGTCGCTGTGTGCGTTATTTTGTTTACATGCCACTGCTAGAAGCTCGTTACATGGCACGTAAACAGCGTCTTGGTAAGGCTCAGGGCCCGAGGTGGGGGGGGGGGGGGGGGGGGCTCTGTCCCCCTGGATCTCACCAGGAGGGGCATGGGCCCGGTGCCCCCCGGTAGTCTACGCCTATGGATACGAGGATACTTGAGTACAGATAAAAATTAACTGGGCTTGATCACGCTGACAGAAGACCACAAGAGGCTATGCAAAATGCATAAATTGTGTCCCGCACAAACCACACGCGTTTGTGCTGGATTTTCTTTTTTTATTATCTTTTAATTTTAATGTGTTAGCATTAGAAAGCTCATTTTGACGAAAACC